AAGTAGATCACAATTCTCAATTTTTTTTTCTAACGAAGCAAATTTTCTCAGGCACTAAACTTTTAATTTCAGATTCAACGATCCAGAATAGTTTCTAAGCTGTGCTAAAACAGAGTTAACTCTATTTGTCATTTTTTCAATTTTTCATTTCTGACCCTTCTCATTTTTTTTCAAAATATGAGGTTGTTTTTTTGTTTCAGTTAAATTATAAAGATAATTCCATTATTTTTTTGAGCTGATACAACTGAAAAAAAAATTATCATAAAAATCGTCGAGATCATTTTTCTTTTTCCTAGTTACAAGGTTGCGAGTGTGTTTGAGAGATATAAAGGTTGCTTTCACTTTTGTTCTTTTTCACTCATTAAATTGATTATTTTTTTAAAAATCAAATGCTTTAACTCTTTAGACAACCAGAGTTTTGTGTGAAACAAAATAAATCCGAGCAACAATTTATCTAAAATTGTTTAGAGCAAGGATAGGTCATTGCATTTCCTTTTAGATAATTGATACTAAGATTTAAAATATTTGCTATACGCAAATGATCTTTGTGGAAGTTTTGGAACGGTTTCACATTGAGTGAATTGATTACGAGATTTATTACAATGATCAATACGTGTTTTGCTTAGACGAGTGAGTAATGAAAGTATGCTCAAACTTGGTACTGATATACCTAAATGTCACGAAACGTCTGTTCAAACCGAGATCCACCAAAAATCACCAGTAAAATGTCACCAAAAATCACCAGTAAAATTTTGTCTGTTACTTTGGATGCAACTGTAGTTGCTGTTGATAGCTGATCAAAAAAGTAAATTGAAAGACTTTTTTGGTCAAAATGAAACATTGATAAGAATTTTTGGTTTTCAGTGAAGATCCAATTTCAGCCCAAAGTGACTCAAAAAAAAACTTCTCTCAATTATTAACAATTTGTGTAATAGTTTAGTTTCAAACTCTTTCAAACCCATAGGCCGACACTTCTTTCCTTTTTAGAACCAGAAGCAGAAGAAAATTTTGGGAAAAAAATTATTTTTCTTATAAAAAAAGTCTTTGGCGGTTTCTTTTTTTTTCAGATAACCAAGTTTCAGTTGCCATTGCAATTGAGTTTTCATTGTGAGATTCAAAAAATTACACAATTCATCTTATTTGTTTTGAACGCCATGGCAATTGAATAAGTGAAATCGCCTAATTGACATTTTTGTTCTCGTTCGAACAACTTCTCATATAACAAACTTTCAGCTTTCGAGGGATGGCTTGGGTTTGTTTTGATAACTCCTGACAGAAATGTGAAGTGCATTAAGTTTGGTATACTAATACAAAAACATACAAAAACGTAAAAAACATACTTAAAGAAGCAGAGCCCCTTTAATCCAAATGTGTTAAAATCTTTAAGACAATGACTTTTTCACTTCCAGGAGTTTCGATTTAAGCAGTAAGTTGACTGAAAAAAGTTTACGCCAAGTTCAAAAAACTGGTAAGCACTTCTTTCATAATTTTGCGTGCTTCAGTTTCGCCTGTTACACACCGGCAACCGTGGCTTCTGCAGCAGTTTTGCATTTGATTAACCATTTTTTATTTTTTAGGTTGTTAGGCATTGTCATTTGGTTGAACCCCATCACTAGATATATCATTGAAATCCAAAGGGTAGTTCAAACAAGAAACTGTATAATGACTATGAAGACCATTTGTTTCAGCTAAATGTTTTTCAAATTGGAACTGTAAGCTTAGTTTTAGGGTTATTACATTCCCGAGAAAAAAATTGTTCTTCAATTCAAGAATTTCACACGAAGCAACTCTATGCGGTTTAATTTTTTGAATTAGAGCCGGTGCACAACCCAACAGCTGCCTCAGCGCCCTTTAAACCTTTATTAATCATTATGAATCCAATATTCAGTATAAGAGTATACTCTTTACTGCGAGGATAACGATATGCGATTTGTTCGATATCCTCTATGTTTGCCAACGAATAGAAATGAACTATAGAATCAGGTGAAACATGCGTTTGATTCATGTTTTTTGAAAGTGACATCCGATGAAAAAATGCTTTGCAAATCTGGGACACAATTAGCATAGTACTGCTGACTTGATTTTTTTTTGCACTCGAGTTTCTTCGATTGCAAGATTTTTGGAAGGCATTTTATTGTTTTGTTCTAGAGATAAGATACATCTTGCTTCGCTTGGTCCATTAATTTTTTGATGTCAAAAATTTGTACAGAAGATAGTGAACTCCTGAGTGTATTTCGTTTGTTAAATGGTCAGCAGGCTCATGAGGTCTTTGTTTCCGTTTTTCAGTTTTGTGATTTCCTTTATAAGTAGGCTTTTATTCATTGATTCCATAACTTTAAAGCTAACTTTTTGATATTTGTGATTTTTTTTCTTTCCATTGCTCATCGACTGCTTTCCAAGTTTTGTCTTCTGTCGCGCTGTGAATGTCGCGCGAAAGCAATTTCTGTGTAGGCCGCGGTCAAATACGTGTAACCTAAGTTTTTCGGCATGTTAATGTTGTCGCTGATTCCGCATCGAGCGAAAATAGTTTCCGGGCTTCGCAAGTAGAAAAAATTCCGAAAACTGTATTCCGCAAGTGTAGTTTTATTCTACTTACAATTTGTGGGTTCCGCTTACATATAGCGGATTCGGCTAACAATATGCGGATTCTGCGTAAAGTTGTCAGATTTCGCGACAACATTTTTTTGCGGTTTGCACTAGCTGTTTTTGGAATAATACAGATTTTAGCTGTTTCTTCTATTAATCCAGAACATTAAAAAGACACTAGCAATGCAGGTCTTTCGAAAGGTTGGATGTTCGAGGCCCACCATGATCCGTGCTCGTTGCTTGAGGGTGAAGCAACATTACCCAGCTCAAAAAATATCCAAAAGAATTGCATGTAGTTCTTAATCAGGGGCACAACAGCGGTTCGCCGTGATGAGCTGTACAGCTCTTGTGTTGGTCCTTTCCCCCGTGGATAAATGGTCTTAATATTAAATGTTGCGGATTTCGCGTTAAATCTGTTATCGGCTTGTTCAGAAATCAGCTTACAATGCACAAAATACACTGATCAATAATAGTATTTTCTTATTTCTATTGCTCTTATTTCTCGTAACGTTCTTAGTTCCAGAGGACAGATACTTTATAGGTTGCACGATCTCCAAATAATCTGGTGTCGGCGTTCATTTTTTCTCAGTATATCATACTACAAATTCAAAATTCTTATTCAAACAATTTGTGATTTATTTTCATTTCCAATGACCATCACAAAGGAAATTTTTAAATGAAGCTTTCCGCAAACAGTAACCTCCTTTCCAAAATGACAGGGGAGTTGCTCAGCTTAAAAAATCTAATCGTCCATCAGAAGATATTCGGTCTCGAAAAGGTAATAATTGGTTTTGCCGTGAACCTAATGCTGGTGTCAAATTAAGCTCAGGCCTCGTAACAAAAAAATATACAGCCCCGGCACCAAGGTGTACTATTATGCGAGCTTATAGTTAACGGCGTGTTATTTTGGGAAAGCTGATTTTTGTATTGAGTTTCACTATCGCGGGTGACTGTTCATAGAAAATAGTAAAACTGCAAGGAAACCGAAAAAAAACTGACTCGTTTTTTGAAAACACTTAATTTGCCAAAAATGTATATGCCCTTAAAGCTCTTCGAATTTCACGAACAATATATGTTCAACCTTTTTTGATGAAATTATTCAAATTTGAGAAAACTGGATCAATAAGTAAAATTTTCATCGCTGGGAAATCTGATAATTTAATTCCATTTTCGAAAATAGAATTCAATCACGTTTTTCGAGCCCTTTACAATTTTGCTGTTCAATAGTGGAGTTTGCCAACCTTTTAAAAAAGTGAATTTGAAAAAAAAATCAGAAGTCAAACAACGAAAAAGCTAATTTTAGCGTGAAAAAATTTTGGGTTTTTTCTGAAAGAAAAAAAATCACCAAGACCTATATGAGTACTCGCTGCGTCCATTACTTTTTAGCCAATATTTTTGGCAACAAATTAAGTATTTTCCATCAGAAATGCAGAAACAAGGCAATCAGTACAATCTGAGCCACTGCGACTCACCTTTATCTACAATTTTCCTCAATAAATACTATTAAATTCAATACGTTTCCCGGAAGAGAAGTGTCGACCAAAAGAATTTATAACTTCAGTCTATTTAAATCAATACGTTTCCCGGAAGAGAAGTGTCGACCAAAAGAACTTTAAACTTCAGTCTTGTATAAAAAGTATTACTAGCAAAGAGTGAACGAATTTTATTCGCGCGTCAATTAAAAGAAAATGACAAGACATGAGCTCTTCGTATTGATTGAGCTATGATAAGAATCTACGTCGGGAAAGTTTGATGACGATTCCTCATCTACACCGCGCACCCATCACCTCGAAGATATTGCTATCAATAATTGAAGAAATCAATGAACGGTAATTTTGCCCACATTATGGTTTTATTTAAAAGGCCGATTTAAACCAACATTACACCCAAACAGAGATGGTTGGATTTTTTTGCCATAACCGTCCTCTACCGAAAACTTCGGACATTTGCACAAAAATGGCTCTTACACTAAAGAAAAATCAGCACAAGAAATATTGAATTATTTTATTTGAAATATTTACAATTTAAATGCAGTTTAATAATAATAAAAACAAAGGAGCGTCGGAAACGTGTCAATGAACTCAAAAACGGAAACCTACTCATTTTTTTTATTGAACGATGAGCATTTTCTTCATGCAAATAAGCCAACTAGATGAAACTGTCACATTTTTTATTCCATAACGAAAACTCAATCCAGATTTTTGCACTACTTGCATTTTCGTGTAATATAACTTGGAAAAAAATGTATATTATAAGCCAAACCGCAAAAATTAAATTTTAAGCACTAAAAACAAAAAAACGGCCTTATTGACACTTATGAAATACACAATCAAAGCATCATTCTTAACTCATCCAAAGTATACTTTTCTTTCCGTTTAAACTTTATTTTTTCAAATTTTATTTGTTAAGTTAACGTCGATTATTTCTGCATACTAAAATGCAATTGATGGCTTATAAGAACAGTTTTTTTCCAATTTCATTGTTTTGAATTCAATTGATTAAATATTACGCCCAGAACAATACTAGCTCTTGTCTATTGATATTTACTGATATCCGAAGAAAAATCAAGTCAGTATTTATTAATGTTTCTGTTATTTATTCTTATGATTTTTTTTCTCTATCTCCCCACTATTATCTTCAGACGTAGTAAGAGGGTGATATTAGGATGTCGTTCAATGTGTTTATCTGGTCTTCAGTGAAGCTCTCTTTGTGTCTAGTCCAGTTGTCGTGATGAGTCCGCTTGAAGTCCATCAGAGTATCTCGAACTGTGGCCTGAAACATGGCGACCCCAATTTAACTTCGATTGAACAATCTTTTTCACAAAATCTGCAATTCGTAATTTTTTCAGCCTTTCTGACACAAACCCCGATCCTGACATAATCAGAATGAAAAAAAACTTTAGTTGAGGATATTTACAAAGAGAATCTAGCCTGTCTGTTGGCACAGAGTTAACAAAAGCAAGTAAACAGAAAAAATTCAACTTTCGAAAAAATGGCCTTAGCACTTTTAATTTCTAGAGCAAATAATGATTGGCAATTTTATGATGAAAATAACCCAATTTGAGAAAAATGGACCAATAGGAACAATTCATATTTCGCTGGGAAATCTGCTAACCAAACTCCATTTTTGAAATTACGTTTGTAGACAAAATTAAGCGCAAACTCAGGATTTTACTCTGTAAAATGCCTGTCTTCAATGCACAATTTGGACGACATTTCCTTCAAAATTCAGTTAAATTTTTACATTGATCGAGAGCAAATGATCAGAGCTACACCATCTATGAAAGTATCAATATTTGGTTTCAATGGCTTCCCAAAGTAATCCGGGTCTAAAAATGCCAGTTTTCCTCATCTGCGCTAAGTTTGACATCGTAGTGAAAACTTTTTTGAACATGCGGAGTAAAAAATTTGTCCATGTGACATGAAACATTCTCAGGACGAAAATGAAAACAATCAGTGTGAAATCTTTAATTCAGACGTTTGTTACTTATTCACACGAAGTAAAAAACTTTGTTTTCCTCATCTGCACGCGAATTTAAACTGCATTGCCTCCACATATTGCGTAATATTTAAAAATATAATTGTAATATAAGCCAATAAACTTCAAGCAACATGTCAGATAATTCGATTAACATTTCAAGCAGATTTGAATATTGACAACTTTTTCTGTATATAATCTGCATTTCGAAAATGCCAAAAATAAATTTGGTTCTCATTTCTATTCTTCGTATTAAATTGATCTTATACTTCAATGAGCCAAAATTTAAATAACTATTTCTAATTCTTACTCGATTTGAGTTATTCAAACTACGTTAGTCAATGTTGAAGTTTTGCAAATAAAAAAAAACATAGCCAATCGAAGATTGAAAAAGTAATGAACGCAAGTAATTATATAAGAAAAACACTGACTTTGTTAAAAATCTCAATTTTCAAATTTCAAAGAAAAAAATAGATTCCCTTTAAGTTCTTGGAATTTCTAGAACAATTTATGATTGGCGCTTTTTTGATAGCATTAACCCAACTTGAGATAACTGGATCAACAGGTAAAACTTTTATTCCGCTGGAAATCTAAAAATTAAATTCCACTTTCGAAACTAGAAATTGCTCACGTTTTTTCGCGCTTTTCCCTCGTTCGTATTTGGAGAGTGCTATTTATGTAACTCTCAGCAGATGAATTCCAATTGAACTCATAAAATGCATATATACCTATGTGCATTAATAAATGCATTAATATGCATGAATCCACATCTGTAGTTAATTAGCATTTTAGGACTTTTTCCTAAAAAAATCCTTTATAAGACCTGTACAAGTGTCTTCACTATGTTCATTACTCTTAAAATGCATCAGCTGTGTTAACTTATTACTAATCGAATGGCGAAACACATTCTATCCTATCAAAAATCCGTACAGGTGCTACCAAAATTAGCACCAATATTTGTGAAATATGTTGGAAAAAATGAAGTCGTACTATTCCGCTACGCTCGTAAGTGTAAACATGAAACTTCAAGACAAATCGTTCGAGTTAGTTTGACAAAAGTGATAGAAAAATAAAATGGTGGATAAATAAAATCTATTGATTTATCAATCTACTTGCCTCGATGGGAGTTGGGTCGCAGACGTGGTCAGCCAGTGCCATCAGGACTTCCGGCATCCACTCGGGTACTGTGTAGGGGTATGCTGTGATGCAAGCCTTCAGGCCCAACACGCCCGCATGTCGCTCTATTAGTGCACTGCTACTAGTACTTGTGCTACCACTCATTCCTAAGCAGTTAAGGATAGTTAAAAACTAGATCTTTCGAACAGACTTCGCTGCGGTTGAGCGTCATCCAAAAACAATTAAGACTAACCGATCTTAAACAAATCTGGCTCGTAACGATTTTGATAAGAAACTTACGAACTGTCACATGATTTTTGTCGAAACAATCCGAAAAAAAAAATTAATACTTGATTAAAATAAACATTGTTAATAAAAACACAGAGAAAGAGAACTTTGCGAATGGCTATGTCCAACATCTGACAGACTGTGAATCGCTCAACAGCAAATAACAGTCTCTGGATATATGTTCAAACCATTGCAGCAACCCTTCAAAAACTAAAATCAATGCAGAAGGCGACTCGATTTGGAGTTGACACTGCAAAAATTTTCTTGTTTTTTTTTAGTGTAACTGCTAACCATTTGTACAGTAAATGGTAATTTAGACCTCCAGAAGCAATTTGGTGCCCTTTTCCAACGCCAGAAAAAAAATTAAGTAGGCTGTAAATTGTTAAGTAGGCCGTAGGAACGCGCAGCGAAAATGAAAAATCATGGCAAAAGTATAATCAAATTTTTGAATTAAATTTAATTTTAACTCAATTTGGATCAAGTTCAACAAAAAAGAAAAAAAATAGTCCATTAAATTTTTTGGAACTTGCTTTATTATCGAACAACTTTAAACATTGCCAACAGAAAATTGGATACGAGTCAAAGCACATAAGTAAACAGGAAAAAAAATCTGACTTATATTTTATTTGAAAAAAATAGATGGCTTTGAAGCTCTTTGAATTTCTTGAAGACAATCACGTCTTTGATGACCTTCACACTTTTGCTGTTCGATATTGGAGTTTGTTTTCCATTTAATAAAGCAAATGAACTTAATTTTTTATAAAATTAGAAGTCAAATCGGGAATTATATAAGAGTCTAGTAATTTTTCGTATTGATCACTCCTTATATTATCACAACTTTTCAAAAGAAACAAACCATGCAACCAACTTCAATGCTTTGGATAGATACCTGGATCTGTGACCACTGAAGACTTGGAAATTGGTTTGGACGTGAGCTTGGAAGCAGCCCTGAGCTTTGCGAACTTCTTGAGGAGACTCTTGTCTATAGTGATGAGTCCACAGTGAATATATCCACTAAGTGTACTAGATGCTAGTTCTCTGACCTGCAACGGACTGAATTACAGGCTGTATAATCATGGTTCATGTTTTTTGAAACTTAAAAAATTAATTGAGCTTGAGGATATCAGCTGCTCTGTTGCCATCGAGCAAAAAATAACAAAAAAGTATTTGCAAATCGAAATGTCAAAAATATTTGGACGATGCATCTGCCCTGGGGGTAATTTGCAAGAGGGTGATTTTCTTCCAAACTTTAATGCGTTAACAAATGTTTAAAGTGACTAGGTTTCTTCAAACCTCTAATTTGTCGTCCTTGAGTAGAGATATGATGACCGATTGGATCGTTTTCAGAAACTGTTTCTGGTCCTCCTCTCTTCTTCCCTCCCCTTGGGTGTCGCCATCTGATCCTGTTGTATGTGTGACTGTTTTAACGCACGAACCACTCGATGCAATAATACTGGATGGGTTAAGAATGAGAAAGAGGTTTGACAGAGCTAGCTGTTGGAGGAAAACGAGACAGAGTCGTTTGCTGCGCCACGCCACACCACTTTCACTCATCTGCACAAAAACAAAACATAATCGAGACATAATTAATAGGCCGAATACACAACGAAACGAAGTTGCCATGTGTAACAACGGAAACAAACTGCAGTGGCGCTAAAAACACAGCCAGGAGACAGTTGGAAAAGAGTCAATGAACGCAAAAACCCAAAACAAATTGACTTGTTTTTGAAAAAACTTCATCTTTCGAATTTCAAACAAAAAAACATGGCCTTAAAGCTCTTTGCATTTGGTGATAAGATTGGAGATTGTCTAACTTTCAAGCAAATGAAATTGAATTGAACTCAAAAACTGCATTTATACCTAAGGGCATTCATATGTGCATTTATAAGTATGAACGCACTTCTTTTGTTATAAGAGCGTTTTAAAACTTTTCCTAAAAAAACGAAAAAAAGTATCACGGACTTCATAAGAGTTTGAACATAGTTCATTGACTCTTAACTAGCTGCAACCAAAAATTTACACATGCCAAGCTGTAGATCAAAAGCAAGAAAAAAAGCCGAAGGAGCACTAAGAATTCCGAACAAATTGACAATGAGTCTTGAAATTGACCTTTCGTGAATACGGAACTCGAACTTATCCTTCTGCTTAATTATCACTTGCCGTAACCACAATGCGTGGCTTCTCAACTTTTTAACAGCCATTTTGGGCTCAATTAATCTTTGGTTTAAAAAACGTTAGCTAAGGAGATAATAAATAAAACCTTAAAACAACAGACAGTCGGAAAAATAAATACTTTAAATAAAACAACTGGAAAAGAGCAGCTGGAAAAGAGTTCATAAACGCAAGAAATTAAAAAGAAAAACAGATTTAAAAAAAAACTTCAACTTTACACTTTCAAAAAAAATAACATGGCTTTACATATTTTTGAATTTCAAGAACAAATTATGATTGACACTTTTTTTTTAATCAAAATGACTTAAATTGAGAAAACAGGTAGTCTTAATTCTTCAAGGTCAGAGTAAAGTCTTAAACTCTTAACTGAATCGATAGGTAAAGTTTTAAATCTTCAAGGAAATCTGAAAACTAAATTCCACTTTCGAAGCTAGAATTCGATCACGTTTTTTGTGACCTTTATACTTCTGTAATTGGAGAGCGCATCTTAACTTACTTGAAGCAGATGAATTATATTGAACTCAAATACTGCATATATGAAATGCGTATATATTCTCAAATGCAATAATATATATATTTACATAATAATAAATATATATATGAATTCACTTCTGTAAAATATTAGAGCATTTTGAGACTTTTCCTCAAAAAAACGAAAAAAATCATCATGACCAATATAAGAGTCCGAACTACGCTTCTCGACTCTTAATTAAATTTAAAACTTATTATTTTAATATTAATATCAATTCATTTGCTATCCATTTTTTCTATTAATATTGAATTTTTTATTAATCATAATATAGCGAGCGAACGGAACCTTTTCGATACTCTTCCTCAGGACTTGAAATGCGTGTGACTGCAAGAGAGGCGCCATTGCTATCTTCTGCACATTACTGACAGCTATCCTCACGTGGTCTGGCTCTGGGTCCAGTCCATCTACCAGACAGAGTGCCGGCAGAAGGGGGTACAGGAGGGCCGTGTTGTTGCTCAGGGCCGAGAAGGAGAGCAGAGACATGATGATCTGCGAGACTGAAACAGTGAATGACCAAACTAAAACCGGACGATGACCTGGAAGCAACGGACAACTCGACTGCCATTTCTTTAAATCTGTAGTTACGTGATTCCTGATACGTTGTTCCTTAGTTTTTTCTTCAGGCTGTTAACTTGCAGTTTGACCAGCCTGGGGCTTCAGAACAACTGAAAATTGTTTTCATTGGGTTTGCCTCAAAGTCTTTGTTTTGAATTTGGTATCGTTCTGTTTTTTTTTGAAAAGAAAAATCTGATAGCAGAAAAGTATTTTAAAGATGAATATCTCAAAAAACTGCAGCTGTAAAATTGAACAAACACTAACTTGAACTCATTTTGTTGAGAACTGCTGCCGATTCTGACTCTGCACTGTTCTCGTCATTTGACGAAGGGGCCACAAAGTCCTTACGGCTAAGCTGATTGGCGACAGGCATCCACCAATCCGAGCACAGGTGAGTCAAGTCCATAATGGCTTCATCCGATCTGCACCACCACTTCTGACTGTGGTAGTATGCAATGCAGCTGGACACACTCCTGGAAGAGACCAATACCATTTGTTCACGAGACCAAGCTGCAATTCGCATACAAAGCCAACAGACCACTGGAGACCGAAAGATCCAAAAAAAAATGATTCTTTAAAAATTTTCAGCTCACAATTTTAAAAATATGCATCTTAAAGCACTTTCAATTCCAATATTCTTTTAAGATTTTGACGAAACTAACCCAACTTGGGAAAACACAGAAGCAAAGCTGATCTTCGCACCACTTGTGATACAATTTAGTATGGGATAAAAAAGCATGACACTCAAGAAGTAGCAAAGAGGTCTTCGAACGACGCTAGCATTGAAAAATTGCAAAAAATGAAAAATTATTAAAATGAAAAGTAGTTTTTTCATGCTTAAACTCATCAAAAGTTCACTGCTTGTGGGGTTGATTTTGAACATTCAAAAATTTGGTGCCACATCTAAACAAAACCCGAAAATTGTCGGCAAAATTTTATGGTAAAAAACAGCATGTACAGCCCAGATAGGTAGATAGGGAGTGCTACATATGTAGTTTATGCAAGGTGGTAATTGAGAATATGAGCATGTCAGCAGCGTCACAAATGATTCAATGATTTGTTTAACAGACTTAAAATCGAAAGGCCAAATTTCGATTTAACAACGCTTGCCGATCGCAATCGTACTTGAAAAAAATATATTTCTAAAAATCATCATGAAAAAACATCTCTTTTAAGTATTTAGATAGTTTTGGGTATTCTGCAACAAGTTATGGTGCACATTTCCAACTATAATTTTTCGTCCTTTAATTTGACCAATTCCTGCACCGGTGTAAAACAAAGATTTCAGAAGATACTGCACAATGTTGAGCTCGATCAGCTTTTTACTATTTCCTTCATTGGCCCACACACATTTCAAGTGTTGGTATAGGTTAGCACTAGCATTTCATATATATAACTTCACAAAATTTTATGGTTTTTCAAAATTTGAATAAAAAACTTTGCAAAATTTGAAACCACCAACCCTGTAATTGGTTGCTGTCAGAGTACACTCAAAAGATGCAGATCTTATTTTCATTATATGTGGTTTCTTATGAGTTGTTGAAAATTCTAAGCACCGGAGGTGCATTACACGCTAGTCTATTTTAAAAATGCCATGAACAATAGATGAAATGGCAATAACAAACATTCATTTAAAAGAAATTTTGAGTCGAGCTGTTAACGAACATTTTCGCAATTTTATTTTTTTCAGTGATTACAGTTTAAAGATTTCAACCTTTATATATATTATAGTTCTTTGAAAAAAAATGTACTAAGAAAGATCACATTTCGGAAGCTTAAAACAAACAGCAGTCGCTTTGAACGCACGGTTTGCAACACATGAGAGCAGGGGCGGATCTAGGATTTTCTCGAGGGGGGGGGGGCGGATTTTCAAAAAATTTTCCAAATTTTGACGACCTTTTTTTTTTTTAGGTCGAACAAATTGATTTTTCGAGACCTCCCAAAGCACTGTTTTGCCCCTATTTTGGCAAAGTTTTCTGCGCCGCAGGCAAATTTTTGAAAAAATAGTCAAAAAAGCCGTTTTTGGGCAATTTTTGAAAAATTTTGACAAAAAAATAGCGTTTTTTTGGCGCGCGCTCCTCCTCAAAGTTAGTATATATTGGCGCCCAAGGCGCCTTTAGAAAAATTTTAGGGTCGGTCGGCCGAAAAGGGATTTCTGAAAAAGTATCAAAGGGGGGACCCTTTGGGTCGGCAGGGGGTCGAATCCCTGAGCCCCCCCCCCCCCCCCCTAAATCCGCCCCTGCATGAGAGTACTGTCGCAAAACAACAACAGGATCAAATTAAGAAACTTTTCAATTTTAAGTTTTCTATAAACAAACTTCAAAAAAAATGAAAACTACATATCTCGAAAATTTCAAAACTTGAGCACTCATATTTGGAGGCAAGATTCGCAACCCCTGAGAGTACTTTGACAGCCCCCAACTAAAGGGTTAGGAATTTCAAATTTTGAAAAAAATTTAAGTTGTCTGAAAGTTTTTTTGAAAATAACAAAAAACGTCATATCTCAAAAACTACAGAGATTTGAGCAGCCTTATTTAGAGGCAAGATTCGCAACCCCTGAGAAAACTCAAACAGCCTCGCACTACAGGGTTAGGAATTTCAAATTTTGAAAAAAAAAGTTAATTTAAGTTTTCTGAAAAGTTTTTGAAAAAATCACAAAAAAAGTCATATTTCGAAAACTACAAGGATTTCAGGGGAAAACTCGCAACTACCAAAAGTACCTTCAAAAGAGTCTCACTAAAGAGATGGGAACTTGACATTTTGTGAAATTTTTTATATCTAAGTTCTTTCAAAAGTCTTGAAAACTACGAAAAATCCTAAAAAAAGTCTCGAAAACTACAACGATTTGAGCAGTCGAATTCAGAGGCAAGATTCTCACCTCCTGAGAGTACCCTCACACTTTCCATATACAGGATTGAGATCTTCACAGTTTTTGATCTTTTTTTAATCTTAAGGTTTTTGAAAATGTTCGAAAAAATCATGAAAACCGTCATATCTCGAAAACTACAAGGATTTGAGAAGTAAGATTTGGAGGCAAGATTCGAAAACCCTCAGAGTCAGTTCGCAACTTCTCATAGCCCCCAACTACAAGGTTAAGAATTTCAAATTTCGAAAATTTTTTAAAATTAAGCTTTCTAGAAACTTTTGAAAAGTCCTGAAAATTGCCGTATCTCGTAACCTAAAAGGATTTGCTTATTCATATATGGAGGCCGAAATTGCAACACCCGGTAAACCCTGACAGCATCCCACAATTGGGTTCCTAATTTCAAACTTGGTGAAATAAACACTGATTTCAAACAGGAAAATCGAAACAAAAATTAACCATTGCCATATACGATATAGCTTTAACGTGAAAAAATTCTTTTGTTTAATATGCAAAACTAATACGTTGAAAAAGCTTAAACATGGCCAGATAGTGAAGCCCGCATTTAAATATATAATCGATTTGATTTAAAATGACTATGCCGGAAATTGAAAGAAGCTCGCATGAAATTACGAATTCCCGGGCAGAAATTCTTCAATGCTCAATCCCTTCTTCTGCCTGTTCAACTCCTTTTTCAGGGTTACAGGGAGTTTAGTGAATTTTTTGTCTTGTTTATGGCAAAATGTGCTACTTCTTTCAGTAATCAGTATGGTGAACAGTCACGTCCACTTGCAGTTTTGCTCAAACTTTTCAAGTCATAATGAATTTTATGCAAAATCAAACGTGTTATTCTAAATTATCTCGACTAAGCATGCTGCTGGTAGTAAAAAGTAATCATTTTGAGCATATTTTGCAAAATGCTTACAAGTTGTCTCAACATCTATATCTGCAATTACGTTCGGCGGCTTCCGATGCTTTTTCACGATGCGCGACCACCTCTTGCTACCTTTTTCATACTTCTTTTGAAGGTTTTGTTTGACAACAAATCACTAATGTCTTTGAGATATTCCAAAAGCGTTTTTTTAAAAATACAATGATGTTTTGATTCATTGCGTACTTCAAGAAGTATGCAAGTATGTAGACCTGGTCGTTGTCACTAATGTTTATTTTCTTTTTTTTTTGGCAGAAAACGTCTAGTTCGGCAGTAAACATCGAGCAACTCAGTTTTTGGTCTTTTTGAATTTTCAATGTTTCGGTCTTTTTTTAACTTTAAAATTGTTTCTGGTTTTCTTTTAGTTATACTGTTTTTCTTTGGCTTTAAGATGAATCTCACTCAAGTTGTTTCTGGGCCTTGATTTTCGGGAGATTCAAGTTCGCAACTCCCCGCCTCACCCTCCAACTAACGGAATTTTCTACCCCAAAACCGTGTTGTCTAGTACTACATTGACTCGTTTTTTTTGCCTTCGGTCTCGAAAAATGACTTGTATGCGTTCTGGTTTACAAAAAAAAAATGTTTTTGAAAGTGTACCCAAACGATCTGCGTAAAATGGAGTGCAGCCAGTATTTAGACAACCGCGTATTCATACTCGTCAGTATTTAAACAAGTACTGTATGAACCAATCAGAATCGAGAAAAGACATAAATAATCCAAAATAAATCATAATAGTTATTTATTAATTTCTTCTTTGCCTCGATTCTGATTGGTTGAAACAGTATTTGTCTAAATACTGACCGAGTCTGAATACGCGGTTGTCTAAATACTGCTATGTAACCGCGTAAAATGAATGCTCAAAGATCTCCAAGCATACAGTCCTGGTTATGTTAACACTCTATAAAATGATGAGTTTGTCCTGGTTGGTTTTTCTTTTGTTAATTATAAAATCATTGCATCCAGATTAACGCTTGAACTCGAAGTAACGTTTGACATCGAAATCTCCACAGATTACAAAATTTGCTTTCTTATTTCTGTTGATTTCCTCAACTTTGGAGTTAATGATTTAATCATCAATTTTGTGATCGTTTTCAGCATTAGGCGGATAAAAAAGAACTGCAAAATCAATTTTTCAAGCACGAAAGAAATCCAGATGAATTCAAAATACTTGCGTTCATCCCTGAGACATATAGATGCCTTTATTTCATTCTTAAATAAACACAGACAACTCCGCCTTTACACTGATCTTCGATAGTGAAGTATGCCTTACTTTTAACAAAGATTGTGAACTGAATTTGAAAAAAATTCAAACCGCGGAACATCAATTGGAGCGTGGACAAATTTTACGACTTTTCCTTAAAAAACCAACCAACCTGATTTATATAAAAGTGCTATCAAATGCAAACTTCGCCAGACACCGACAAAAATGTGTACCATGTTTAATCTTTCGTCACACCACGCCTTTAATAAGTTGGAAAACGAGTGAAATTAATTATTCTTAAGATTTATGGAGACTTTAAAATATGAAAAGATTCTATAGTAGACTGAATTAAACGAATTTATTCGGTCAAAAATGATAACAAGACAGGCAGAAGGTTTCTAGAAACAAAATAATTTATGAGTAACCTTACTTCCCTGTCCTATCTGTTGAACAAAAACTGAATAAATATTCGAAGAGCATCATTACTCACTGACAAGCAACTGTTCGGTACTTTGTGAACCTGCTGCCCATGAAATCCATCATGAAGTGCATGTGTCTCTCCTTCAGACTGTTGGCCTCGAAGTTCATACACACGAGCAAGTTGTTCACAGCATTCGCCAGCAGAGTGCCATTTCTGTTGTATTCTGTCGGGAAAAATGAGGTAGATAACTTTTGAAACAGCCACTCGAACAGCCACTGGATCCTCATGGGGTCAAAATCCTTCAAAAATATGATCCAGGGTTTTGACATCTTTAAATTAGTTAAAAGCGCAACTTTCGCACTTACCGACAAATATGTCTGGAAAATACTGTACGACCAATGAAAATAAATATTCGTACCACCTTAGGGCAAAACTGCTAAAAGCTATCTTTTTATCGATAAAAACAAGAGAAATTTTGTTAACTCATCATTGCGAAGAAAGTTACTTACTAGAGCAAATAAGATGGAATATGAATTATATCCTTATAACTCAACAAGGAATTTTTTTAAAAAAAAATACCTAAAGAACAACTCCATCAGTTGATCCACTCAGTTGACTCACATATGACAGCTTGATAGAAATGATAAAAATGCGTTACAAGATGGTGAATGGAAAAGGACAGAAATAACTTTTTTTTTGAAAAGTTAAAATAATGACTTAGTCGCCGGAAAACATAGCCAGAAAAAGTCAAAAACGCTGCACATACAAAAACTTCAAGTTTGCATGGGATGCTGTTTATAAACAACCTTTAAAAGCATTGCGAATCATTCTCAAGCAGCAACTAAGGCGACAAATTTGGTCGACCACTCGGTTTCACATGGAGTTTCACTCGGTTCTCCGCAAGCTAAAAAACTTTGCCCCTGGAACGTACATCACTAACGACAACCAAACCTCCCTCTTGAGTGTGCTATACATAGAGGAGGCGCCTATACCAGCACAAAGACAATATCATTGGAAAAGATGGTTCCCCTTCTACGTCGGTTTTGCCGCTAGAGACCTTGCGGGAATTGCAGTGATAGATTATACAAGACGATTAACAGAAAATCTCTAACTCAATCTCTCTCTCTCTCTCTATCTCTCTATCTCCTAAACAGACTCGATCTCTCCAATTCAATCGGAAGTTTGGAACCACAACAACCACATTTTTCGATATAAAAACAAAACTATAGATATAAAAAATCTGAGAAATAAAGACTGTACGACCCATCCGTACTGAAACAAATTATGGCATGGGAATGTATTTTGCCCTCGAAATTACGCAAAACAATTTGAGCAAGCCGATATGAAACAAACCGAAACTATTTAAATCCAATCTGTTGAAAAAAATCGAGATTTTGGAAAGTAAGTCAGCAAAAAGTTATACCAGATAACAAATGGCATCTAAAAAACCGGAAATGAACCAATGGAAACAAGGAAAAAGCCACGAATCCGAACAAAATCAACTTATTTCCAAGAAATCTATTAAGAAAATTAGTTTTCACCTGGCCTACCGAACAAACGTTACCTAAATACTACCTAGGTGATAGTCATTTTATTTAAAATTTAAAGATATTGAGCATTGCGGCAGCAAAATTTACCATTCCTACTCAATTGACCATTCTGTGGACAAAATTATTTACGGGGAAAAGTCTTCCACACAATTGCAACACCCTCACCGATTGCAGGGGTAAAATATGAACACTTATGTTCATTTAACAGCATAAACACAATTTCGAGAAAATGCAGTAAAAATGAGTTTTGAAGCTAAAAACGTTTTAAGAACAGTTTTGCCATGATATTTACGCCCGCCTATTTTGTCGCCCATTTTCAAACTAATCAGCAAAGAAGATTTTGACTTCGAAAAACCCATTTTTTCTGAAAAAAAAACTTGATTTTTGATTCACTTTGGCTCCAAAATATCAATGTTGTCAAAACCCTGCCTTGATAGCATGCGAGAAGAAGGTATCCCACACAGGCATTGAATCTTGAGTCGCTACCGATATCTTGGCCTCAACTATTGGTAAAATATACTCTTTACACTTCTCACACTGCTCATAAGTCCACAACTTCGAAGCATGTATGGCTCCGCAGCAGAACTCAGCTAAAAACCTATGCGAACTATCTGTCGTTTCAGTCACAACTTTTCGCACAGGAGCGTTGAAAATGTCAAACGCTTTTTCTTGCAGAAATCTAAAAATGAACTGCCAAATTTTGTATCGACAGAATTTTCCGCGTTCTCGTGAGTTTTGCTCCGAATTAACTCCCACTTTTTTCTCTTCGGCGCTGAGATGTTTCACAAATAATTCAATATTATGTGCCTCAGAGAACCAACTGATCACAAATGTTTGAACTTCTGTCAGTTTTTCCTGCTGCATTTCAGTCGAAAAATGAGAACTCAATTTTTTCGGAGTCGCGTACAAGTCTCGCACTACACCCTCTGCTTTGCAGTTGAACATGTAGAAATTTCGGTCTACAAACTGCCGATTATTGTAGTCAGTAGCATCTAGTTCTATATCGCGAGAGTAACTGATCCATTTTTTCAACTGTTTTTCGTCTAACTTTTCGGCTTGTGTTAGGTCCAAGGCGGTACCATGAGTTGCATTATCTAAACATACATGTTTATAGCTTAAAGAGTTATATAAACTTCTAAAAACTGGAGAAGAGTCTTTAAAGAGCTGACTTAATGAAGGGAAAAAAGAAAATCGGGGCTTCATGAGTTTCCTCAATAAGGTTTCTTAAAATAAGGACGAGCAAATAATATTTCTAAAGAACTTTAGCTGAATATAAGTAGTCTTATACGTTTTTGATAGACGCGCAGTAGCTTCTTTGCCCTCAAATGATTCAATCGATTTGTAAACCAAAAACAAAGCAAAAAGTATTGATTTAAGCTATGAACGGAATTAATCACAAGACGCTTCCTAATTTTCAAAACAATAATAAAGACCATGATACGCCGCCAATAACCAATCTCTAGATAGAAAGAGTCGGATGCATCAACAATTTAACCAGTCAACTTACACAATTGGTAGAGTGGCTTGGCCGATTTGAGAGCCCTAACTTTGTTGATTTCCAACAGGAGTCTGGTCAGAATGTAGCCACAGTGACGAATGGCTGCAGTCTCACTTAGTGTCGCTTCCAGTACCAGTTTGGCTACTCTCCGAGGAGTACCTGTGTTCAAGAAAAAAGATAACTTAACAATGTGAAGGACGATTGGCTTTTCGGCGTTCCATTTTTACAGCAAATGTATCACACTAAAGCTCTTTTATTTTCTTAAATTTTTAGAAAAAAACTAGCCTAATTTGAGAAAACTAGCAAGCCCGTCTCCAATAATCAATCGGGTTGCAAAAAAAATCTGATCAAGCTACTCAAAGTAAACTATAAGCGAGGTGTTCCAGCTTGAAAAAATTGAAATATTTCAAGTTAACTCATGAAGCGATTCGGATGCCAAAAAGTATAAATTTTTCTGTTGAATCCTCTTTGAAAAATTTGATTGAGCTAATCGAGTTATTTGTTAGAGAAAATCGGTCTGTGAAAAATCAAACATTTCTTGAGACAACTATTCAAGCTATGAAACTTAGAAAACTCAAATCCGCGAAAAATGTCTCTAAGCAAGCTATTGAAGCTATCAAAGCTTAAAATAGTTCAAGTTATATCATGAAGCAAACCGAATGGCGATATTTTTAAGTTTGTTATTGAAAAAAGTCAAGCAATGAAACCTTGAAATAAGGCAAGTTGATTCTTAGACCAAATCAGATGACGAAAAATCAACTTTTTTAAGCAATTTATACGAGCTATTAAACTTTGAAATATTGCAAGTTACTTCATAGATTTAACATTGCAAGTTAAAAATTTCTCAGTAAGTTATTTATATTATGAAACATTCACATATTTCAAGCCATTTCATTAAGGAAATCGGACAGCGAAAATTATAAGTTTTTCCATTGCAGCCAATCAATCGGCGAAACTTTGAAATATATCAAATTACTTCATCGACCAAATCAGTTTACAAAAATTTCAAGTTTTTCTGAGCAAGCTATTCAAGCTACGAAATTTTTGAATTGTTTAATGTTTTCAATCTAAATGGGATCACTAAATTTAAAACTTTTCTAAGGAAACTGTTCAAGCTATAAAACTTTGAAACTAATCAAATCGGATAGCGAAAATTTGAAGCTTTTCTATAGAAGCCATTCACAAGCAAGTTTGAAACATTTGATAGAAACACTTGAAACAATTTTTTTAGAGCGAATCAATTCGCGAGAAAGTCGAGTGAGTTTCACTTAAGCAATTCATGGAAACATGAATTATTTCAAGTTGTTGTTTGGACCAAAACCTAATGTTTAGTCGAAAAAATTGAGGTTTCTAGAAAACTAAGTCAGCTATGAAACTTTGAGATATTTTGTGAAGCGAATCGGCTCAGGAAAATTTTTCATAAGCAAGCTAATCAAGCTTCAAAACTTTGAAATAATTCAAGTTATTTCATGAAGGCAATCAATTTACAAAAAGTAAGATATACACCCTATGAAATATTTTAAATTGCTTTCGTTGCGAATAAAATTCAAGTTTTCAATCAGCAGGCTAGTCAAGCCATGCCACACTGAACATTTCAAGTTGTTTCATAGAGCACATCAGTTCACAAAAAATGTTCCTTAAGCAAGCTATCCAAGCTACAAAAATTCTTTAAAAATTTCAGTTGTTTCATAGATCACATCAGTTCGCAAAAAATTTTCCTGAAGCGAGCTATCCAAGCTACACTTTGAATTTTGAAATATTTAAAAGGGAATCGGTTAAAGAAAAGTTTGAGCCTATGGAGCCTATGAAACATTTCAAGTTTTTGCGTAGACCAAATCGGTTCGCGAAAAGTTTTTCCTTGCACCCTATTGAAATTACGATGAAGATTCGGTTCGCAAAAAAAAAACGTTTTCTACGCAAGCTATTCCAGCTATGAAACTTAAAAGCTTAAAAGTTTAAAATGTTTCTCTATGCAAGCTATTCAAGCCTTAAATCTGTGAAATATTTTAAGTTTTTCTAAGCAAGCTTTTCAGTCTACAAAACTTTGAAAAAATTTAAGTTTTTCGTAGACTGATTCGGTTCGCGAAAAAATTAGGTTCATCTTTGGAAGCTATTTAAGCTATGAAAGTTTTCAAGTTGTCTCAGAGACAAATCAGTTCGCAAAAAATTGAGTGTTTTAAAGCAAACTATTCAAGCTTCGCAACTTTGCAATATTTCAAGTTTTTTCTGGACTGACTCGGTTCGCGAAAAGAATAAGTTTTTCTAGGCAAAATATTCAAGCTACGACATTTTTCAAGATGTCTCATAGACGAATCAGTTCGCGAAAAATTTAACAAATTTTGCTTACGCATTTTATTAAGCTATGAACATTTGAAATATTTCAAGTCAATTTACAAAGCGATTCGGTTCATGAAAAGTTTTCCTTAAGCAAGCTATTCAAGCTACAAAACTTTGAAATATTTGAAAGGTTATTGGTTCAAGAAAAGTATACGTTTTTTAGGCAAACCAATTCAATCTACGCGAACCAATTCAATCTACGCATCATTTCGAAATGTTTCATAGGCTCAATATGAAACATTTCGAATTGATGCGTAGATTGAATTGGTTCGCGAAAATTTTAAATTTTTCCCAGCAACCTACTGAAGCTACTAAGCTTCGAAATAATGAGGATTATTTCATACACTAAATCAGTTCGCAAAAAAAAACGTTTTCTACGCAAACTATTGTAGCTATGAAACTTCGACATTTTCCGAGTTAATTCATAGTTTGTTTTTAAGCATAGATGTTGCTATTTATAGTTGATTTGTTTCAGACTGAAATAAATCTGTAACAGCATAATTTCGGACAAAAAATGGGCCAAGTACTGTCTAGCCTTGAAGTTGAATCGAGTTCATCTTGCTCTGATTGATTCTTAAACGTTGCGCTTGATACTCCCTTAACCATTACGCCTTATGTCAGCTAAAGCATGGTATTAACTTTTCTGTCATTCGTTTAATATATAGGATTAGGCCAAAAGACCATTTTTTATACAGCTGAAAATTCTAAAAATTGAAATCCACTCTTTGAACAAAATCATTCGAAGTATTTTAGCATCATTTGCACTTTCATTTTCGGCATGCGAAACTTGACTTTCTTTTAGCAAGAAATTTAAATTGAAGTCAGCAAAAAGCATAAGCGCAAAAACTCAAATTTAAACGTGAACATCACCTTCCTAAGAAACATTAAGCGACCTAAACAAGTGTCTTCGAACGTCTTGATACCAACTAATGCACGTTAAAAAACAATAGATCAATTGGTAAACTCTTCATTCTGCTGAGAAGAGAATGCTTAAATTACAATTATTGCCAAATTGTTGACAATATCCTTTTCGGTCAACGAACCTGAACGAAATTAATTAACCGAAAAACGCTCATTTCGACGTCCTGTTTCTATTTTTCGTTAATCTCCACAGGTTAAAACCGTGTTTACCGGTAAAACACGAATTAACCTAAATTGGTGTGGTTTTTAACCGATTAAATTGCTCGAGGTCACCGATACATTGCCAACAATTTGGCGTAACTATATAATCAATTTATGAATTTAATAGACAGCGTTTTTTGCAGTATTTGTGTTTTTTTAGAGGTGGGCAAAATTTTCAATTTTCTCAACAAATGATTTTGAATCAATTTTCCAAAAGAAATCAAACACCAAATTTGAGCGTAACAACTTTTGACTTTCTTGAAACAAAAACCAAAATACCACACTACGTTTATAAGTGTATTCATTTTGTTCATGGACTCATAAAAGGAAGTGTCTAATTTATGATGAGATTAACTTGACCACTTGAATTTTCATGATTGACAATTTTTGATCAACACGTTTTTTTTATATTTTATACTCCCCATAGGAAATTATTGAAAAATAAACCCATTATTAAAAGTAAAAATAGTTCAAGTTTTTTCACACTTTCCTTCAGCAAATGGATTCAAAGCAAAACTGAACAAAGATAGACGGTTACTGTGCAAGTAGCACAGAAATTTCAGACAATAACATTAAAAAAACGCAAATTTTTTTTCTTCAAATTTCAGCCGTTTTTCTGCGTGATGTGATTAAAAAATCTTCAAAAAAAGAACACAAGCATATTTGAAAGTCAAAAACAAGACAAAAAACCATAACAATATTTGATAAAATTTTCTCAAAGTGCTTTGCGGAAATGTTTTGAAGTTTTTGACTCCCAAAAAGACGCTAGAAAACTCCAAAAACTAACTTTATACGAGTGAAACTAAGCTTTCACGGCTTAAATAAAGCATAAATAAGCTATTGTCGTTCAAATCTTGACTAAAAGGGCTTCAATGTGGCATATCACTCGACCCATTCCGTTCCGATGTTTATTTGTCCTAATTTTACGTGAAAAACAAAAAAAACTTAAACACCCCCGAATACAAAGTTCCGCCACATTTTCAATAGTCGGAACAAAAAACATAGCCAACAGACAGGTGGAAAACTGTCAATGAACTTAGGTTGAAAAAAATTGAGGTGAACTGACCGCATAACATTACATAAGTTCGTTTTCGGGCGCCAAAATGTGAAAACTTAGTATAAAATTCCTCTTGTAAAATATATCAGAATTTGAGACGTTTTCGATACATTAAAGCTAATTTGAGAGAACTGGAAAACTGGATCAATCGGTAATTTTTCATTCCACTGGCGCTTGATACTTGCTTTCGTTGCTTTCTTGCCCCATTTCAAATTGTTTTTTGGACCAAAACCTAATGTTTAGTCGAAAAAATTGAGGTTTCTAGAAAACTAAGTCAGCTATGAAACTTTGAGATATTTTGTGAAGCGAATCGGCTCACGAAAATTTTTCATAAGCAAGTTAATCAAGCTTCAAAACTTTGAAATAATTCAAGTTATTTCATGAAGGCAATCAATTTACAAAAAGTAAGATATACACCCTATGAAATATTTTAAATTACTTTCGTTGCGAATAAAATTCAAGTTTTCAATCAGCAGGCTAGTCAAGCCATGCCACACTGAACATTTCAAGTTGTTTCATAGAGCACATCAGTTCACAAAAAATGTTCCTTAAGCAAGCTATCCAAGCTACAAAAATTCTTTAGAAATTTCAGTTGTTTCATAGATCACATCAGTTCGCAAAAAATTTTCCTGAAGCGAGCTATCCAAGCTACACTTTGAATTTTGAAATATTTAAAAGGGAATCGGTTAAAGAAAAGTTTGAGCCTATGGAGCCTATGAAACATTTCAAGTTTTTGCGTAGACCAAATCGGTTCGCGAAAAGTTTTTCCTTGCACCCTATTGAAATTACGATGAAGATTCGGTTCGCAAAAAAAAATGTTTTCTACGCAAGCTATTCCAGCTATGAAACTATAAAATAGTTCTAGTTGTCTCAGACGAATCTGTCCCTTAAAAGTTTAAAATGTTTCTCTATGCATGCTATTCAAGCCTTAAATCTATGAAATATTTTTAAGTTTTTCTAAGCAAGCTTTTCAGTCTACAAAACTTTGAAAAAATTCAAGTTTTTCGTAGACTGATTCGGTTCGCGAAAAAATTAGGTTCATCTTAGGAAGCTATTCAAGCTATGAAAATTTTCAAGTTGTCTCACAGACAAATCAGTTCGCAAAAAATTGAGTGTTTTTAAGCAAACTATTCAAGCTTCGCAACTTTGCAATATTTCAAGTTTTTTCTGGACTGACTCGGTTCGCGAAAAGAATAAGTTTTTCTAGGCAAACTATTCAAGCTACGACATTTTTCAAGATGTCTCAGACGAATCGGTTCGCGAAAAATTTAACAAATTTAGCTTACGCATTTTATTAAGCTATGAACATTTGAAATATTTCAAGTCATTTTACAAAGCGATTCGGTTCATGAAAAGTTTTCCTTAAGCAAGCTATTCAAGCTACAAAACTTTGAAATATTTGAAAGGTTATTGGTTTAAGAAAAGTATACGTTTTTTAGGCAAACCAATTCAATCTACGCGAACCAATTCAATCTACGCATCAGTTCGAAATGTTTCATAGGCTCAATATGAAACATTTCGAATGGATGCGTAGATTGAATTGGTTCGCGAAAAGTTTAAATTTTTCCCAGCAACCTACTGAAGCTACTAAGCTTCGAAATAATGAGGATTATTTCATACACTAAATCAGTTCGCAAAAAAAAACGTTTTCTACGCAAACTATTGTAGCTATGAAACTTCGACATTTTCCGAGTTAATTCATAGTTTGTTTTTAAGCATAGATGTTGCTATTTATAGTTGATTTGTTTCAGACTGAAATAAATCTGTAACAGCATAATTTCGGACAAAAAATGGGCCAAGTACTGTCTAGCCTTGAAGTTGAATCGAGTTCATCTTGCTCTGATTGATTCTTAAACGTTGCGCTTGATACTCCCTTAACCATTACGCCTTATGTCAGCTTAAACATGGTATTAACTTTTCTGTCATTCGTTTAATATATAGGATTCAACCAAAAGACCTTTTTTTATACAGCTGAAATTTCTAAAAATTGAAATCCACTCTTTGAACAAAATCATTCAAAGTATTTTAGCATCATTTGCACTTTTATTTTCGGCATGCGAAACTTGACTTTCTTTTAGCAAGAAATTTAAATTGAAGTCAGCAAAAAGCATAAGCCCAAAAACTCAAATTTAAACTTGAACATCACCTTCCTAAGAAACATTAAACGACCTAAACAAGTGTCTTCGAACGTCTTGATACCAACTAATGCACGTTAAAAAACAATAGATCAATTGGTAAATTCTTCATTCTGCTGAGAAGAGAATGCTTAAATTACAATTATTGCCAAATTGTTGACAATATCCTTTTCGGTCAACGAACCTGAACGAAATTAATTAACCGAAAAACGCTCATTTCGACGTCCTGTTTCTATTTTTCGTTAATCTCCACAGGTTAACCGTGTTTACCGGTAAAACACGAATTAACCTAAATTGGTGTGGTTTTTAACCGATTAAATTGCTCGAGGTCACCGATACATTGCCAACAATTTGGCGTAACTATATAATCAATTTATGAATTTAATAGACAGCGTTTTTTGCAGTATTTGTGTTTTTTAGAGGTGGGCAAAATTTTCAATTTTCTCAACAAATGATTTTGAATCAATTTTCCAAAAGAAATCAAACACCAAATTTGAGCGTAACAACTTTTGACTTTCTTGAAACAAAAACCAAAATACCACACTACGTTTATAAGTGTATTCATTTTGTTCATGGACTCATAAAAGGAAGTGTCTAATTTATGATGAGATTAACTTGACCACTTGAATTTTCATGATTGACAATTTTTGATCAACACGTTTTTTTTATATTTTATACTCCCCATAGGAAATTATTGAAAAATAAACCCATTATTAAAAGTAAAAATAGTTCAAGTTTTTTCACACTTTCCTTCAGCAAATGGATTCAAAGCAAAACTGAACAAAGATAGACGGTTACTGTGCAAGTAGCACAGAAATTTCAGACAATAACATTAAAAAAACGCAAATTTTTTTTCTTCAAATTTAAGCCGTTTTTCTGCGTGATGTGATTAAAAAATCTTCAAAAAAAGAACACAAGCATATTTGAAAGTCAAAAACAAGACAAAAAACCATAACAATATTTGATAAAATTTTCTCAAAGTGCTTTGCGGAAATGTTTTGAAGTTTTTGACTCCCAAAAAGACGCTAGAAAACTCCAAAAACTAACTTTATACGAGTGAAACTAAGCTTTCACGGCTTAAATAAAGCATAAATAAGCTATTGTCGTTCAAATCTTGACTAAAAGGGCTTCAATGTGGCATATCACTCGACCCATTCCGTTCCGATGTTTATTTGTCCTAATTTTACGTGAAAAACAAAAAAAAAACTTTAACACCCCCGAATACAAAGTTCTTCCACATTTTCAATAGTCGGAACAAAAAACATAGCCAACAGACAGTTGGAAAACTGTCAATGAACTTAGGTTGAAAAAAATTGAGGTGAACTGACCGCATAACATTACATAAGTGCGTTTTCGGGCGCCAAAATGTGAAAACTTAGTATAAAATTCCTCTAGTAAAATATATAAGAATTTGAGACGTTTTCGATACATTAAAGCTAATTTGAGAGAACTGGAAAACTGGATCAATCGGTAATTTTTCATTCCACTGGGAATTTTAAAAAGAAAATTGAGCTTCTTTTGAAAAGAAAATTAGGTCTCGTTTTTCTGCACTATATGAACTCCTGTTACTCGAGACACCGTTAATTTTCCTTCCAGTTGGCTATAGAATTTGAACTTCTTTTATTCACTTAACAAGGTTTGTTCAATATAGCTTCGAAAACTTTCTCGGTATGTATCCATCAACCAAACCCTATGATATAGACATTGAACATTTGCAAAAACTCGGAAACTAAGTGACAAAAACTAAGCCAAAAGCTAGTATAGTGAGAATCGTTGTGAGTCAAGTTACTCGATTAATAAAGCACAGCGATCACAGAAATGAGGAAGTACGTATGTTAACGAGTTCATCGAGAAAGGTAAAATTGCCCATTCTATAAATAGCAGCAACCGGTTGCAATACCCATGCTATGAAAGGCTGTTTCTTTAACTGTACTTTTGCTGCCAAAATTTCTTGTAAAAATTGGAACCAGACCCAGACACGCGACAGAGATATTGCAACTTTTTGTTTTTCCAACCGCTGAAACCAAAGAATATCATCTTCTGTTTTATTTCATTTTCTCTGCAACTAATTAAGATACTGAGCATGCATTTCTCCTAACAAAGCACAAAAACAGCAGACCAAAAATTTCAGAAAACCACTAGCCCTTTAATAGATTTTAGTACAGTAAAACTGCTAACTGTAGAGTTTGCACCTGAAAGCTCATCTTTTAAAGGAACTTAAATGATTGACTTATCCTTCTTTGATCAGTACTGTACCTTGTGACCAGTCCCGTCTCATACATGTATATTGCAGCATACGAAGGGCAGTAGTGTGAACAGATTTGTGCACGTTCTGTTTCTCCAGAATGGCACACAGATCGTTCACTATGTTCTTCACGCAGCTTTAACAGACAGAAAGGGTTGAAAATATATAGTTAATGCCAAATCGTTGGCAGCATCCTTTTATAGTTTTAACCAAATTTATTAAAATAATTCTGACCTTGAGACAGTGAAATGGCGAATTTTCAAAATTGCATTTGAACTGTCAAAAGAGCAATGCAAACTGATTGCGCTTTTTAAGAGACGTCAACGGAGGCTATTCCCATGTTGCTTTTTTTAATGCAAGTAGATTTTTTTGTCGGCTTTATTGATTTCGACCCAATTTTTGCCTGCTTACTTGCCGGGTAATTATTTTTTTAAAATCTTTTGGTGGATTTGTCAAGTACTTTTTTTTCTTCATTTTCATGAGGACAAATATAGTTCATGGTTTTCTGGTTTTTATAGGCGCCAAAATTTTCTGTTGGAGGTAAAACTTATTGAATTTTTCACCTGGAATTTTTGCAAATAGAAAAATCATTTTTTTCCGGATGCATGGTTTTCAATTTTTTTGTTCTAAAAGTGCGTGAAAATATATTAAATGAAAGTCTTAATGCGCTATGGACGCAACGTTTTAACTATTTTTACCGAGCACAACGTTTAAGAAGACTTACATCAGAAGTTTTAAGAATCATTCAGAGCGACCATCGAGCTCAATGTTCAAGAGGCAGTTAGGAAAGGAAGAACTTTCAATCATTCTAAATTCTGGATTATTAATTTTTTCCGAAAAAAGTTCGAAACTCTTTAAACAAGAACTCAATTCAATTTCAAGGCTAGACAAACCCCACCTACTTTTAGCCCAACATTTTGCGTTTACAGATTCATTTCAGTCTAAAACTAAATAACTAAAAAGAGCAACCTCCATGCTTACACGAACCAATTTATAGTAAACTGATTTGTGCTATGAAATGACTTGAAATATTTCATAGCTTGAAAAACTTGTTTAAAAAATCGAACCTTTCGCAAACCAAACAGCTCGATTAAAATATTTCAAAGATTCATAGCTTCAATAAGAAAAAAATAAAATGATTCCAAACCATTTTGGTCTATGAAAAACTTGATTTTTTTTTGTAAAGTTTCATAGTTTGAATATGTTGTTTAGAAAACTTGAACTGTTTGTGAACTGATTTGCTCTGTAAAACAAATTAAAATATTTCAAAGGTACATTGATTGAATAGCTTGATAAAAAAATTTCAACTTTTTGCGAAATGATTCGGTCTAAATACCAAGTAAAACTTCAAATCTTCATCGTTCGAATGGCTTCAAGAGAAGAAATATTTTTTTTTGTATTCAGATTCGCTTCATAAAATAAGTTGATTTGTTTCAAATATCATAACTAGATTCGAGTGCTTAAGAAAAACTTGAAAATTTCACGAAAGGATACGGTCAAGGAAACAACTTAAAACACAGAGGCGAAGCTCATCTTCGCACCACTTGCGATATACAATAAAGCTCCAAAAATAAAAAAAAAATGTATCCCGAACTTGAAAAAAAAACTGGAATTATTTTTGTTGAGAAAAATCGACTGCTAAAATATCAGAAACAGTTTTATTGCAATTGTTGAAGAAATCAATTACCTTCAAAACAAAATAAGGATTTGTTTTGGGCTTAACTGTATTCATTTCTTTTTGATAACCAATAGATAAAAACGATAAGAAAATATTTCAATCGATAAATTGAGATACAAAAAATCCCAAATATACTCGAGAACTGTTCATTGATTTTTGCAACCAAACAATCTGCATATCCAATAAGAGCAATCGTGTGTGAAAGGTCTCATCCGCTAATTGCTTTTGTAAAAGACCGGGAAAAAAATTCAAAACATGAAGGCAAAATTACAAATAATTGCCTCACAAAAAATTGCGGAAAATCTGAAAAAAAAACACTGTAAACCTATAAAAACAAACCAATTACATCAAAAATGATAAAACTTGAAAATTATTTGCAACAACAAAAGGGTTAGATCACAAAAAAACGTTAAAAAAACGGCCTTTAAAGGAAATTAAAAAACACGAAACGTTTTCGTTTGTCAAAACTTCAGCCAGAAAAAAAACACACTCCTGGATCTGGTGCAGAACTTGGCATCACATTCCTTTGCAGACAAAACAGTCGAGTTAACCTTGCAAAAAATTTATCAATTTTCTGACATATTGAAACAATACGTTAGATCATCAGCTTCAATCGATTTCAAACAAAATTGCTTAAACCTAAAACACACTTAACTAATTAAAACTCAAACTAGTTTCACGAACTTTTAGAACAAAAAAAAATCGAAAACCATGCAGCCGAAAAAAAAGGATTTTTTTTGCAAAAATTCCAGCTGAAAAATTCAATAAGTTTTACTTCCAACAGAAAATTTTGGCGCCTATAAAAACCAGAAAACCATGAACTATATTTGTCCTCATGAAAATTAAGAAAAAAGTTACTAAATTACTTTAAAAAAATTAATTACACGGCAAGTAAGCAGGCAATATTTTGAGTTTTAATTACTTAAGTGTAATTTAGGTTAAAGCAATTTTATTTGAAATCGATTGAAGCTGATGATTTAACGTATTGTTTCAATATGTGAGAAAAATGATAAATTTCTAGATTTTTTTTTGCAAGGTTGACTCGACTGTTTTGTCTGCAAAGGAGTGTGGTGCCAAGTTCTGCACCAGATCCAGGAGTGTGGTTTTTTTCTGGCTGAAAACTTGACAAAAAAAAAACGATTCGTGTTTTTTAATTTCCTTTAAAGGCCGTTTTTTTAACGTTTTTTTGTGATCTATCCCTTTTACTGTTGCAAATAATAATCAAAATAAATCATTTTTGATGTAATTGGTTTGTTTTTTATAGGTTTTCAGCGTTTTTTTTTTCAGATTTTCCGCAACTTCTTTAATGTGGTAAATATTTGTAATTTTGCATTCATGTTTTGAAGTTTTTTTCGGTCTTATACATTAGCAATTAGCGGATGGGGCCTTTCACACCCGATTGCTCTTATTGGATATGCAGATTGTTCGGTTGCAAAAATCAATGAACAGTTCTCTTTTACGTTGTGCTCGGTAAAAAAAAGTTAAAACGCTGCGTCCATAGCGCATTAAGACTTTCATTTAATATATAAGATTGAGTTTTTTTCCAATGTGCTAGAGATCTGACAATATTTTAAAACTCAAAAAAAGTTGTCGCTTAATTGGGAATCGGCAATGGCCTTTTTAAATAATTAGTTTTAGACTGAAATGAATCTGTAAACGCAAAATTTTGGGCAAAAAGTGGGTGGGTACTCTCTAGCCTTGAAATTGAATTGAGTTCATCTTGTTTAAAGAGTTTCGAACTTTTTTCGAAAAAATTCTAGAAGTCCAGAATTTAGAATGATTCATTGCAGGGGTCTACAATGATTCATTTGGAAATTTCATTTCAAGGGTCTGAATTTGTTTGCAAAACTTTCCTTCAGCAGCGATCCACCATGCAACTTTTCAATAAAAAAAACATGAAAAGCGACAAAAGGCAGACGCGAAACGTCAACGAACTATTTCGAATTAGTTTAACTTGAAGGTCAGAGTTGTTACAAAAACTTAAGTCGTTGTCCAAAATTTTTTTGAAAAACTATAGACCAATGAATTGGAATGGAATTAATCAACCTGAAACTTCTCATTTTAACGTCTGAAACCAATTTCAGAACGTCAAAATTGTGTCAAACAATCTTATTAATTTAAGACCAACCGTTGCTAAAGGTCACCGGTAATAATCAATACTGAACGTCAAACATAGGAAACAGTACCTTCAATAAGTTGTGAATAAATGTTTAATTTAAAAATACATCACGTTAAAACTCTTTAATTTCAAGAACCTTTCATGAGTAGGACTTTCGTCATACAACTAACCATCTGATATTTCAATCCGCTGGTAAGCTTAGAAGTTTCCAACATAGAAGTTTCCAAGCAATAAGTGAACATTTTTTTCGCATTAGTGCTCTCTTCACTAAAACTAATAGAGACTCAGGGATGAAACTTGAACATATGATGGATGAAAAAAAAATGCCAGACAAAAAACCGTAAATGTTGGGCTCATGACGTCCTTTACCCTGTAATCAGAAGGCATCAAAGAGGTGTTCTTAGCCCCGAAAAGGCCCCGTAAACAGCAGATGCAGTTCAAATCTTTAGCTTTTCAAACAATGTTTTTATGACCAAAGCCAGGCATAAGCCTGGAAAAGATTCAATTAATGCTAGAAAACCTAGCCAACAGACTTGGAAAACATGAATAATTGTGTCTAATAACTTTTGGTGCAATGTTTACTGCATAATTTAACACAGTAATAAATTGGAAAGCATGTAAAGAATTGGAAAGCGCGAAACCAATGTTTGTAAAAATTATGCATATCACAAACATTGTGAAATATGTTGTGTTGAAATTTTTCTAAATGCTGTTTTTGTACTGTTGTTTAAAACAATTAGCTTTTGTCGGTTCATTTGATGACTTAAAATGCTTCCAGCCGTGTTAACTTTTTACTAATCAAATGTCACAGCACATATGATATTATACTGCTACCGCAGCGTACCGACTTAAAGGTGTCAACAAAATTAGCACTATTATTTGCGACTTGTGTAAACAACATTCATCGACTCTAAATAGAAAGTCGAACTACTATAACTCCGACTTCTGAAAAAATAAAAACCACCTAGAGTATCTCACCTCATTCGCTCCTCGTTCTCTTTGTCTAGTATCTCGTCGCTTCTTTTTAAGTCTACTACTGCGGTTCCTTCTGCCTCTAAAAATTTAGCAGCCAAATCTCGGCTCTCTTTGGCCATCGAGTAAAATATCGACACGGTCGTGCAATTATTCGTGATTCGCTCATAGAGACGATTAAGAATTTCCAGAACCGACTCCCGTTTTTTGAACTCATTGGGATCCTCGTTGTCATCCGAAGACGGATCATCAGCATGTTTCATCCCATTAAGAGTATCTTTCTGAGATACATCGCCTTGGCCGTCTTGCTTTCCATCCGCATTCAATTTTGCTGTTTTCAAATCAGACTCAATCACATTTCCGAGCAGACTATCGCCACCATCGGCTAATTCACCCTCGATGATAGATACACTTTGCGACTCTTTTTTGACTTCAGTGGAATAACAGTTTAACACTGCTATCCATAATTGGTGTTGCACTTCAAAATCCATAATTTCCAACAATGTTGATCCTGAATTCGAGGCACATAATGCATGCAGTGCTCCTTTATACTGATGATAGGATTTCGGGTTTAAGAGCGTTTTCTCAATTAGAGGCACAAATATCCTTGAACTGTATTTGTACACGTGAATCAGGGTTGATAATGAGATATGAGCGTCGCTTCTAACTACTGGGTATCTGCTGGTGGCCAGTTTCCAGATGTCGTTGGCCAGAAGAGCACAAGTTGGTCCGAATAGACCCGGTGTACGACGCCACGTCTTGGTGAGCTACACAAAACAAAAATAATTGAATGGAATAGTTGCATGAAATAGCAGAACAACCATTTGGTGTGCAATTAGCAAAGCCAATTTTGACCACAGATATTAGTCCGAAACATTCAATAATTTTTCAAGTGCGCTTTTTATATCGGAAAGGACGCTTTTTAAGGACGGACGAAAACAAATTAACACGATCTATATAAAAGTATTCACTGCGTTCATCGCTTCTTAAACTATTGATTTTCCAACCACAGTGTCTATGGAAAATTGGAAAAGTGCCTATGAACTCAAGAAAACCGGAAAAAAAATATAGAAACACTTTTCAAATCTCAAAGAAAAATGGCACCAAAACACTGAGTTTGTTGAAAAAAACCTCTAATTCGAATTTCAAAGAAAAAAATAGATGCCCTTTCATAAAATCATCAATAATGTATGAATGCACATCTGTAGTTATTAGAGACTTTTATGCACATTTTAAGACTTTTTCCTGAAAAAAAATCAAAAATCAGCAAGACTATCAGTCTTCACTACGTTCATTACTCTTAAAAACTGGATCAACACGCTATTTTTTATTCCGCTTGGAAAATTTGAAATAACAACTGTTTCGATACAAAGCCATTCATCGTCATTTGCACTTTTAGCGTCATTTGCACTTTCGTTAACGGAGAGCGTAATTTTCCTTCCTTACAGCAAATCATTTTGAAGCATGATTAAACTTTGAGCGTGAAAAAACTAAGAACTGTCCAAAAACAAAAACCAAACGACCGAAATAAGCATCTTCACTTTGTTCTTAGATACTTAAATTAAGCGACACGACCTTCTCTACAGTGCTGATTTAAATTAACCGGACGAAAGCGTTAAACTTGAAATTTGAAACGCATTTTTCTCAAATTCGGTTGAGTTTAGGTGAAAGCTTATGAAGACAAAACCTGCTTAAAATTTTAGCAGAATTAATATGGTGTAAATTGTTTTGCGTAATTCGGGCCCAAAATTTTACCCCAAAAATGGGTCATTTAGGTTTTTCTTATTTAATAGAAAATTAAGCCAAAAAATACCCAGTCGATCACAGGCATAATTATATCATAGTGAGCCCCTTGTAAAGCCCATCCTGCTTTAATGAAAAAAGCGAGAAATGCCTAATACACACATTACTTGTACAACAACTTATGACATCGCTGGGCAAAAGTAACGCCACCGTTTGAATCTATCACAGGAGGGGAGGGGGGAGGGTGGTGTCAGGATTCGAAAAAATTATTGTTGACTTTTTTTGGTCATCCGATTTAGTTTTTCGAGCTCCTCTAAAAGCCTTTTAAGACCCTAAGGCAAATATTTGCAATAACACTTTGCCATAAATGATCTTGAAGATTTTTTCGAAAAACTAAAAAAAAATTTCGGCGCGTGCTGTCCTTTCAAATTAAAATATTATGGCACCAAAGCATTCTTAATTCTTACCTTGTAATGCAACAGGATCTCATTTACTTCCATAGGAGCGTATAATAGTTTCTTTTCCTTGAATCTTTTCTTTCCCAGCAAGTAATTTTTGGATGTTTTTGTCTGGCAAAAGTTTTGCATCAACTTCGATTTTCCTCCGACCTCTAGCAGCAAAAGACGCAGAATTTTGGACACATAAACTAAAGATTTTGTGTCATTTTCCTGAATATCATTGCTCAACATAGCATTTAACAAATCATGCATTTTCATTGCTAAATCTTTCCTCAAGGTGTTGTATCGCTTGAAACTTTTCGTGAGGTACTCTTCATTGTATAAATGTGGAGTTAGTTCGCATTTCTGTGACGTTGTCAGAATGTGTTCGGAATCTAGACCAGCCAGACTACAAGCAAGACCCTCAACGAAACTGTGGACGATTGTGAGTTCTTTCACGAGGTCTTCACGACTAAAAGACTGCTTTCGTGATGCTTTTGTTTGATCCTTAAAATTGGACGTCGAACTTTTCGGCCTAAAGAAACAAAATTCTTTCAAGAGATGTCAGTTTATCCGTGATGATAATTAATTTGCGGTAAACTTCGATCAGAATTACTCAAAGATTACCGCAAAAAATTCTGGAAAATAGAACTACTTTCAGGGCCAGCTGAATTCAATTGTCATTTTAAATGAGTTTTGCACAAAAAAAAACGTTTTCAATTTCATTTTCAGTTTTTAAGCAACTTCGATTCAAAATTTTGGGCGATAAATAAAACTTAAATGCTAAAACTTAAAAAATAAAACTCACGGAAACGGAGAAATCTACATTCCATTTTCGAAGAAATAATACATCACAATAAAGAGTTTCCAGCATCTTTTAATATTGGCTTTTTCACGAGCCTAATTCAATTGGAGAACACTAAGTAGTTTTTGGTGAAAAAATGAAATTCATTTGAAACTAAGACTCGTTAACGATGTTTCTTACCATTTGCACTTTCATATATAGAGACGGGGCCAAACCGCAAAAATCAATATTTGCTGAAAAAAATCAACCTAACAAGTGTCTTCACGTCGTTCATTGACAATTAAGGATTACACAATTACTACAAAGATAAACTTCAATTAAGACAATATATACCCCAGATACATCATGGGTCGTAGGACGCATATCTTTTGCTTTCACAGCGGAAATGAACAGCGAGTCATGAAACTCAGAATGCATTCAGGCATCTGTCTTTTTACGTTGGGACATTTTGTTTGATACTACTTAAAATCCCTTCAAATAGTTACAAGGCATAAAACAAATCTAAATTATTACATTACAATCTTCATGGTAAACACATTTTGGGCGCCATGCGCTTGAATTTTCCACAAAAACGAAGCAATTTTATCAGTTAAGAACCTTCTAGTTTGTCGCTTAACTGAGAAGGGGGAAGGAAATCTGCTGATGTCAGTGTGTTTTGTTATGTAGTTACTGCACTGATTTAATCGAAAGAAAGAATCATCAGTAATCCGTTTGATGCTTCGATGATTGCAAGGATGAAGGGTCGGAGCTGGGCTTTTCCAGAGACACGCTTGAAATGCAAATTCCCAAAAATGAAAAAAAATGTCCAGGTCATGTTCGCGCTGAAGAAGCTTGTTGAAGAAACTGTAAGATAATATTTGTCCTCATCAAATTCAGCATGTGGTTAGAGGAGCGCGTAACCCATCTGAGCGCCCGCTTGTGGAACGTCTCCATTTTACATAAACAAGATGGCAAAGTTGACAACACCTGGCTAGCACAGAAGATAACTGGCAGAATACATAACTGAAAAACTTCAGGCGCATTCCACGGGGACATGCATGTGGAATGTGGCGCCTCATCAAATGAAGAGTTCACTAGGGAACTATCACAGCTATATCTAACACCTTATATTTCGGAGTCTCATGTAACATACTTTTGAGTATTAGCGAGGACTTGTTCTGAGAAGTGGGTGAGCTTGTCAACACATGGCTGCATAATCTCCTCCACTAGCCTCTCAACAAATGCAACTCCAGTGCAGTCTGGCATCCTCCACTCTACATGGAGACTCTTCAGGTCCATTGGTCGGCCTATTTCCTACAAGCAGTAGTGCAAGCTACACAATTTTTCTGACTAGTCACATCGACGGAAAATATAACACCGTATTTTCTCAGACAAGAGACACGTTTTTGATTAATTATATCTGGTCAAGAAGAAATCTTTTAATTGGAGACGTCTTTCATTTGAGGGCGTTCTTTACTTTTTTGTTCAGACTATCCCCAGGGGTTAAAAAGAACTATGATCTAAGTTGTGTTTTCAACACACAAAGACGGGTGCCATATATTAAAGTCAGATGAATTCGAGCAATATATTATATCAAAGCTTTTTAAGTAAGGAATATCTTTCGATTTATAACTAAAAATACTTGTGCCAGAAGAAACAAGCTGGGAAATTAGTTATTTTGGACATTCAAAAGCTGTTGATTGGATGGCAGTTTTGCGTATTGGGTTCCTGTCAAGAAAACAGCCGTACTTACAATAATGGGTACATATTTATCAAATCCCAGCGACTCTTTCGTCCTTCCTAGCCAATAACTAGGTAAAACACATGGGCTCAGTCTAGATGCTAACAGTCCCTGCAACACTGTACACGCCCGTCGGTATATGTCCACGTGTTTGGCCTTGAGTAGTAGCTGCAGACACTCGAACAGCTGGGGTTCGAACTCGTGGCCTCTGAAGCTGGCGAACTGAAACATACGGACAGCATAAACTAATAACGCTGAAATGGACCATAGTCTGTTTCTCCAAAAACACTTCCATAAAAAGAAAATCCAATACTTTAGTTTGCTTTAGGCTTGAAACACAGGGGCGAAGCTGGCTTCGCACCACATGCAATACAAAACAAGAAAACCACAAGATCCAAAAAAAAACAACTAGATCTATCAAAATTAATACGGCTAGTTTTGAAACAAAACATGCCAAGACGATAGAATGTGAAAAAGGCATCGGAAGAAAAATTACAAGCGCTAAAAAGCCGACAATACCCTAGCAGAAACCCTTTATGCCGAAAAAAAAAATTAAATATAGCCAATCGAAGTATAGCCAATGAACGCAAGAAACAAAAAAAAACACTTCAAAAAATCTCAACTTTCGAATTTCAAAGAAAAAAAAGATGCCCTTTAAGCTCTTTGAGTTTGTAGAACAGTTTGTGATTGGCGTTTTTTTGATAACATTAACCTAACTTGAGAAAACTGGATCAATAAGTAAAGTTTTTATTCCGCTGGGAAATCTTAAAAATAAATTCCACTTTCGAAACTAGAAATCGGTCACGTTTTTTCGCGCCATTTCCACGTTCGTATTTGGAGAGTGATATTTACATCCTTTCCAGCAAATGAATTTCACATTAACTCAAAAAAATTAACTATACTTCAGTGATCAATATTTTAGGACTTTTTCCTGAAAAAAAAAACGAAAAATAAATCAGCAAGACCTATATAAGAGTCTTCACTACTGTTCATTACTCTTAACAAGACAAGGCTTTTGAAAAATTAACCAGCCCCTCGCCCTCAAAACACACACACACACATGCAAAACTTAATTTGATCGTCAATTGAAATATTATAAGGCCACCTAGCCGATATAGTAAAGACCGAAACCTATTTCGCCGAGCAAAGCAAAAACAAAAAAGCCGAAAAATATTCAAATTTTTTTTAGACTTATTTGAAATTATAAAGGGGCCCCTCACCCTCAAAACACACACACACACAGAGAGACTATTTTCGCCGGACGATAGATGCAATTGAGGTCATTAAGCCGCTTTAATATAGACCGAAACCAATCAAGCGGGAAAACGGGAACAGAAAAAAAGCCGGAAAAAATTGTTGTCATGAAAAACTATTATTTCTATACAAACTGCCTTAAAACTACTCAAAATAGGTCACTTAGCCGATAAAATATAAGCCGAAATAATTTGAGCAGAATTAAGTCAGGGCTAGTAAAATTACAAACAGCATTAATAATTAAAATCTGAAAACTACAACGCGACTTGCGTACAGTAAAGAACAAACACTTTTACGATGAGGCAACTAAGCCCACAAAACATAAACAGACAAACAAAAAGCCGACAAATTTTTGAAACGGAATATTTCTCGTTTGAAAAAAAACAGGTACTGTGAGATTCGAACCCACGACCTTTTCCGTCCCAGGCGTTTTCGTTACCTCCAGGCCAAGTGTGCCGGAGTTGCAAAAAAATTCGAATTTATAATGACAGGAACTTAAATTTACCAATTCTAATTTTGACTATTCTGTAACAAAGTTTTTGACGAAGAAAGTCTAGTACCCGAATGCAATAGTCTTGTACCTTTATCGCAAGGGTAATACAAATATGGAGAAACAAATTGCAGTCTTTTTTGTTCGAAAATTTTTTTATTATTGATATACAAGTTCACAAAGCCATTAAAAATGATTGAGACCTTTAAAAACTCAAATTTCCAATAAATTGATTTTAATTTTCGTCGTCTTTCATTAGGGATCACTCAGCAGTTTACATTGAAACAAAAAATGTCCACAGCAAAAACCGAGATGATCTTGGGTGGAAATTAAACGTCCAATGAATTCAAACCCTCTCCAACGAAATGAAATGAAATCATTCCCGAGCAAAGTATCTACGTAAGATCTAAGATGAAGATCTAAGTAACGGAGGGCTCTTTAACTTCAAACTGAATATAAAAGTGTTATATCTTTTCGATTTCTTTTAGATCAAGATCTTTATATCTTTTAGATCTCGATCTTTATCTATACTATAGAAGCATAAAAACAGAGAAAAAGCAAGTGCAATCAGGGCCAGAATTTGGCGCGCGCTCCCCCTCAAAGTTAATATATATTGGCGCCATTCTTGTAGCCTAATGGTGCCCTCCCAATCTGTATTTTTGTAAACGAGTAAATAAGAATCCTGAGACTATAATGGTACTTCAGGTTGGAAACAAGTCATTATTATTATTCCCGAGCAAAAAAGCATGAAGAGGGTAGTTGCAACAAGAACTTAAATTTATCGGCCAAACTACTACCCCATGATTATTCAGTTGCATGTCAACTTAACATGAATGCATCATTTAGTAATATACCACATTAACAGCAATTCTATATTCAGTCAGTTGAAATGACGGTAACAAAAATGATTGTCATTCTCCTCTGCCACTCAGCAGAAAACAAATACAAATGCATGACATTCAACGATTGACTTGTTTGTATGGTGAATAATCAATTAATAATATAATCAATTAATAGGAAGGAAACCTACTCATGTGTTAGCCCTAACGCGCATAGTAAACCAAGTTGAATCAAAGCATTCTAAGTACTTGAAAATGTTTTTGCTGACTACCCCAAAAGCTTGATTTTTTTTCATGTTATACTTAACCTCTAACGGTCACAAGTCATTCTCAATAATTTTACAATTTTTTCAAATGCAAAGCTGCATTTTGCGAACAAAAGCAAGAAAACGGCAAAAAGAAGCGCCAAAAGGCAAAAAAAAATGACGCAAGAAAAGGCAAAAATTTCCAATGACAGAGGCGAAGCCTTAAATTAAATTTGTGGAAATTATGTTAACACAGGCCAAGTTTAGCGTTATAAGAGCATACAAGAAACTGGAAGCGGTAACTAAACCTGACAACTTTATGAAAAAAAAATCTTTGAGCCGAAAAAAGGCATTGGATTAAACTTGCTACAAAAATTTGAATGAAAATCTATTATCATGAAAACAAATAATTGCCCTGCAAAAGACGCAATATAAAGGCAAAAAGCCGACAATACGCTAGCAGAAACCCTCTATACTGCAAAAAAAGCCAATCGAAGATTGGAAAAGAGTAATGAACGCAAGAAACATTCAAAAAAAGTTTGAAAAAATCTCAACTTGCGAAATACAAAGAAAAAATATGCCCTTTAAGCTCTTTGAATTTCTAGAACAGTTTTTTGATAACCTTAACCCAACTTTAGAAAACTGGATCAATAGGTAAATACTTTATTCCGCTGGAAAACCTCAAAAAAAATCCATTTTCGAAACTAGAAATCGTTCACAACTTTTTGGGCCGTTTCCACATTCGTATTTGTAGAGTGCAATTTGCGTCACTTTTTCAGCTGATGAATTGCAATTGAACTCAAAAAGTGCATTATTCCTATGTGCATTCATAAATGCATCAGTATGTATGAATGCACATCTGTAATTATAAGAGCATTTTAAGACCTTTTGCTGAAAAAATGAAAACAAAAAAATCACTAAGACCTAAATAAGAGCCTTCACTGCGTTCATTACTATTGAAAAATAAGAAACAAAGGAAAAATAGAATTATGCAAAATCGGAGTTGGTAAATCTAGATTCCAGATAAGAGGTGGTATTTGAAATCAAAGAAGCTCAAACAATGAATATGGCTGAGCAGGTCTATTCAGCTGGGAATGAGCGGCTTGGTTCAGCTGTGAGGAGATGAATCCTTTGAAAAAAGCTGTTCACCGGAAAAAATTCTCGGACCCGGTTGCATTAACTTTTTTCAGGCGCAAAAAAATTACCGCCAACCGGATACGAACCACCGGCCTTGAGATAAATGATCCCCAATCTCCACCGTATCTCATAAAAAATGTGATAACTATCAACAGATACAGCTTATCAAAAACAGGCTATTAAATTGACAAAACTATGCACAAAACTTACAAAAAAAATAGCAAGATTTCATGCGAGCACGAGTAACAGACGATTTGAAGAAATTTACCAACTAACCTACCTCAATTTATAGAGCAAACGCATTTTAACTAGTAACTAGTATACGAAAAAGTTCATTAAAACATCCGACCCTGCCCATGTTTGAACCCCCTTATTTTGTTGCTTGTCTCCTTCCCTACCTCTACGCTAAAATCCATGATACCTCGAAGCTAAGTTCTATTTGTAATATAATTGTCTGTGTTAATATCCTTAGCACTGGCTGTACTTAATAGCTGGATCAAAATGAACACTTTCAAAATGAACACTTTTTTGTCGCAACATTTGCATCGCAACAATATTTGCGACTTAAGTTTCAAAAGTTAGTTCATACTACAACACAAGCTATGCTTGTGTAATAAACTCAAGGAGACAAAAAGCTAAGTGACTTTCTTTGAATTTCAAAATCCTTTAGTGATCTTTTTTACTTCGCTGGAAAACTTTTTTACTCTGCTGGAAAAATTAAAAACTGCAATCCAATTTCTAAATTTAAAAACAATTCATGCTTTTTGGCACCATTTCCACATTGGTAGTTCTATATTGCAGTTTGCTTTGTTTCTGGATGATGAAGTTAAACTAAACTTATGAAGAAAATAAAAGTCGAACCCCGAAAAATCAAACTTGAGCCTGAACAAAACTTCGTTCCCGCTAAAAAGAAAAAACAAAACGACCTAAATAAATGTCTTCACTTCGTGCGATTACGTGTAGGAAAATTGTAAAAATATAAATTATTTGAAAAAAAGTTGTTACGAAAAATTTAAAAAAAAAAACAAATTTGCTATTCTATAACTGAATTCTAAAATTGACATTTGAGGTCAGCATTTGAGCACCAACTCCACATTTATCAAAGGTCGGACTAATTTCTAGAACAATCTATAATCAAAATTACAAGTCGATCCCGTTTTTCCTGAAAGAAAACGGGAAAAAGATCATCCCGACCTATATAAGAGTCTGAACTGCGTTCATCGACTGTTAATTTAAACCATAATATAAAGTTTCGAAGTCCATTTCCTCCTCGAAACACACCCATAAGCACACAAAAAATCTTCCGCTCATCAAATGACGCAACTTGAGGCCACTAAGCTGATAATAATTTTTTGAGAAATTGTCCAAAACTATCGATCAACCAAAACTTGCATATCCTTGTCATTTTTATAAAAACAAAAAAACTCACGAAAAAGATGCCCAAGTAAGACAATTGAACCTTACATAATCGCAAGCGTAACTAGCATCAAAACAAAGCCGAAAATTCTTCAGCAAACATAAGCTGAGCCAAAAAATGCTTGAATTAAAAAAACAGTGACCCTCAAAACTATCACATTCAAAAACATTTTGCTCATGTAACTTCTCAAAATGAGGCCGCTAAGTCAATTTTCTTAATCTGAAACCTCATCCAAATAAAGAGAAAAAAAGACTGAAAAAAAGGGACAAAAAATGATATACTGAAATCGAGTTGGTAATTTTACGACCAACATAAAAAACAAAGTTCGAATGAAATGAGCTTTTAAAATGCAGACATGCTCAAAAAACTCGTCTGTTCGTCGAACAAAGTACAGTCTGAAAAAGTATAGTACCCGGTTGCAACACCAATGTTTATCGCAAGTGTAATAAAACACATTCAAATTATCGCAAGGGTAATAAGTGACAACCATAACTTAAAAAATAGCCTAGTACTAAAACAGGAACTCCACATTTTATTGAAGCGCAATTATGTGGCCAAAAGCTTCCGGATACTTTGGTGGTCGTGAAATCTGCTAGCCATAAAAAAATTCATTCAATTCAAATTCAAAAATTGGTCAAATTGTGCGTTTTGCAAGACACAGTTTGGTAAGTCAAGATAAGCCGTAAGCAAACACTGTCAAAAAATCTTAACTGCACTCAAATTTATCATTCAGACTAGACTTACACTGTCAAAAACTGCCGCATACCACAAGAATTCCTTGTCCACTTCTGTTTTAGATACCAAATTATGTCCGTTTGCTAATTGACGCAACTTGCCCAGCACATGTGGCACATACATAGGCCCAGCTATGTCTGGATGCGCTTCAACTGCTGGTAATTTGAAAACCTTAGATATGAATCCAAAACCAGAGTTTACGTTGATAATCGTGGTTGAGATGAAGTTAAATAACTCTTGAATTAACAGTTTTGCTATCTCTTTAGAGCAGTTCGCTATTAACGAAGTCAGACAGGCTGTCAACGAGTTGATCAGATGAGATCCGACGCTTTTGATGGCTGCATTTACATTTTGGTATGGTCCGGTCGAAACTTCCATGAAGTTCTCCACGGATCGCATCGAGTTGAAAACGATGATGTATTTTTTGACCAGTTGCACCAGAATATCTTCGAAGTTCGCAGTGTAGTGACACAATTCTAGCTCCTGACGCATTAACTTTTTTCAGGCGCAAAAAACTTACCGCCAACCGGATACGAACCACCGGCCTTGAGATAAATGATCCCCAATCTCCACCGTAGCTCATAAAAAATGTGATAACTATCAACAGATACAGCTTAACGAAAACATGCTATTAAATTGACAAAACTATGCACAAAACTTACAAAAAAAATAGCAAGATTTCATGCTAGCACGAGTAACAGATGTTTTGAAGAAAAAAAAAGAGATTTACCAACTAACCTGCCTCAATTTATAGAGCAAACGCATTTTAACTAGTAACTAGTATACGAAAAAGTTCATTAAAACATCCTTCCCTGCCCATGTTTGAACCCTCTTATTTTGTTGCTTGTCGCCTTTCCTACCTCTACGCTAAAATCCATGATACCTCGAAGCTAAGTTCTATTTGTAATATAATTGTCTGTGTTAATATCCTTAGCACTGGCTGTACTTAATAGCTGGATCAAAATGAACACTTTCAAAATGAACACTTTTTTGTCGCAACATTTGCATCGCATCAATATTTGCGACTTAAGTTTCAAAAGATAGTTCATACTATAACACAAGCTATGCTTGTGTAATAAACTCAAGGAGACAAAAAGCTAAGTGACTTTCTTTGAATTTCAAATCCTTTGAATTTCAAAATCTTATTTACTTCGCTGGAAAACTTTTTTACTCCGCTGGAAAAATTAAAAACTGCAATCCACTTTCTAAATTTAAAAACAATTCAAGTTTTTTGGCACCGTTTCCACATTGGTAGTTCTATATTGCAGTTTGCTTTGTTTCTGGATGATGAAGTTAAACTAAACTTATGAAGAAAATAAAAGTCGAGCCCGGAAAAATCAAATTTGAGCCTGAACAAAATTTCGTTCCCGCTAAAAAGAAGAAACAAAACGCCCTAAATAAATGTCTTCACTTCGTGCATTTACGTGTAGGAAAATTGTAAAAATATAAATTATTTGAAAAAAGCTGTTACGAAAAATTTAAAAAAAAACAAATTTGCTATTCTATAACTGAATTCTAAAATTGACATTTGAGGTCAGCATTTGAGCGCCAACTCCACATTTTTCAAAGGTCGGACTAATTTCTAGAACAATCTATAATCAAAATTACAAGTCGATCCCGTTTTTACTGCAAGAAAACGGGAAAAAAATTATCCCGACCTATATAAGAGTCTGAACTGCGTTCATCGACTGTTAATTTAAACCATAATATAAAGTTTCGAAGTCCATTTCCTCCTCGAAACACACCCATAAGCACACAAAAAATCTTCCGCTCATCAAATGACGCAAATTGAAGCCACTAAGCTGATATTAATTTTTTGAGAAATTGTCCAAAACTATCGATCTACCAAAACTTGCATATCCTTGTCATTTTTATAAAAACAAAAAAAACTCACAAAAAAGATGCCCAAGTAAGACAATTGAACCTTACATAATCGCAAGCGTAGCTAGCATCAAAACAAAGCCGAAAATTCTTCAGCAAACTTTAGCTGAGCCAAAAAATGCTTGTATTAAAAAAACAGTGACCCTCAAAACTATCACATTCAAAAACATTTTGCTCGTGTAACTTCTCAAAATGAGGCCGCTAAGTCAATTTTCTTAATTTGAAACCTTTTCATCCAAATAAAGAGGAAAAAGACTGAAAAAAAGGGACAAAAAATGATATACTGAAATCGAGTTGGTAATTTTACGACCAACATAAAAAACAAAGTTCGAATGAAATGAGCTTTTAAAATGCAGACATGCTCAAAAAACTCGTCTGTTCGTCGAACAAAGTACAGTCTGAAAAAAGTATAGTACCCGGTTGCAACACCAATGTTTATCGCAAGTGTAATAAAACACATTCAAATTATCGCAAGGGTAATAAGTGACAACCATAACTTAAAAAATAGCCTAGTACTAAAACAGGAACTCCACATTTTATTGAAGCGCAATTATGTGGCCAAAAGCTTCCGGATACTTTGGTGGTCGTGAAATCTGCTAGCCATAAAAATATTTCATTCAATTCAAATTCAATAATTGGTCAAATTGTGCGTTTTGCGAGACACAGTTTGGTAAGTCAAGATAAGCCGTAAGCAAACACTGTCAAAAAATCTTAACTGCACTCAAATTTATCATTCAGACTTACACTGTCAAAAACTGCCGCATACCACAAGAATTCCTTGTCCACTTCTGTTTCAGATACCAAATTATGTCCGTTTGCTAATTGACGCAACTTGCCCAGCACATGTGGCACATACATAGGCCCAGCTATGTCTGGATGCGCTTCAACTGCTGGTAATGTGAAAACCTTAGATATGAATCCAAAACCAGAGTTTACGTTGATAATCGTGGTTGAGATGTAGTTAAATAACTCTTGAATTAACAGTTTTGCTATCTCTTTAGAGCAGTTCGCTATTAATGAAGTCAGACAGGCTGTCAACGAGTTGATCAGATGAGATCCGACGCTTTTGATGGCAGCATTTACATTTTGGTATGATCCGGTTGACACTTCCATGAAGTTCTCCACGGATCGCATCGAGTTGAAAACGATGATGTATTTTTTGACCAGTTGCACCAGAATATCTTCGAAGTTCGCAGTGTAGTGACACAATTCTAGCTCCTCCTAAAATACAAACAAAATCATCAACCAATTTTTAGTCACAGCTTCCATATCAGGCTCATGCTGGCATCGACACTTTAAACCCTAGTCACTAGAAAATTTATTCAAATTTTTGGTCAAATAAAACCATACCATACCATAAAACCTAGAAAACAGCTAGTTTTCTTCATGAAATAATAGTCACAGCTAAATAAAACGCTTAAGACAAGTCCTGTGCCCTGGTTCAGTGAAACGCTTATTGACAATCGCAAAGACAAAACAGCATTCTTAGATTTCCAAAATAACATTTTGCGTTCAGTAACAAGAGCACTCATCAGGGCGTAGCACTGAATGCTCCGACAGTACTTTTAAGTCTCGATGAGAGAATTTTTAAATGATTTCGTTTTTTTTCTTTATTTTATTACCTCACACGCTGTTTTTAAATACAAACTCATTTTTTAAGGGTCTGGCAACGTAGTTTTGAGACAAAATTGCTAGCTTCAATTTGATTTCGAATAATTCAATTCGCCGCCTACGTTATAATAGGACGAAGAATATCGCGCTTTAATTATCCCAAATAAACCCAAAAATGTTTGAGCTCAGAGCATCATTAGCTTTCAGACTATTAAAAATCCAGTCACAAATGGCTAATTAAACCGCCAAAATTTATCTGGAGAAAAAATGAATTTCACTTTTTTCGAATTCCTTAAATATATTCTCCGCCGTGATATTTCTGTTTATGGCTTTCGGTTCATCTTTCTTTGGCTTTGATTTGTCTTGGCTGTTTTTTCGATTGCTTTAGCATCATTATTTTCGTTGCACTCCTCTATCCTTTTTTGTTATCGCTGCCATGTTCCTTTCTGCGCAGTTGGCTTTTCCTTCTTGTCCGATGGGATCATTGCTACCTCCTCCTGTATTCAGGATTTCGCTATTGGCCCGCCAGTCCCCCGTTTTGCTTTCTATTTCCCCAGATTGTCTCCACCTCCGGTCAATTCTATGGCGAGGCTCATGCTTCGATACTCAATGTCTGACGAATTTCATTTAAAAATCTGGTTCGTTAACCTGTGATCCTTCATACTCCTGTATGTCGAATCTTGCTTTGTTTTAAGAGGCTGTCCTTTGGTATATTGATATTCCCAGTTTCCCTTGTAAGTCTAGACCAAAATACATTTAGTTCAACTTTCTGTCAACAAAAAAAATGACATCTGGTAATTTCCATTCCGCTGATGTCATTTTTGCTTCCAAGACTTTTTAGAAGCAGTCTACGAATTGAGCATTTAAGAGCAATTTTTCTCTTAGATTGAATGTGCGCGCTGACAACGCATTCAGTATCTGTTTGGCTGTAGTACAGATTAAGATTGATACTGGATTTCCGGCGTCTAGAGTCATAAATATTATATGCATGTCATACTTTACCAGTTATTTGACAGATTTTATAATTTTTGATATCGGGTCTGTTTTTTCCGATTTCTAGTTTTTTAAAATTAAAACTGTATGGCTGTTGCAGCTTCGGTTTTGTTCTGTTAATTTATCTGAGATATACTTTTTTCCTATTTCTGTTTTGTTCTTGTTTTAATCAAAAAAAATTATCTCCAATAAGTATGGTTAGTCAAAGTCTTCAATTAAGTCGCACTCTCTTGAGCCTTCGAACTTTTTTCTGCTACTTTCACTTGTTGCGATTGACATTTTAGCAAAATAACTCGCGTTTTGCATTTTAACACTTTTCTCAACACCGGGCGTTTTTGAGGTAATTATCTCCAAATGTTTTCCCGTGCCCTAGGCAATTTTTTTAAGCGTTTTCTCTTCCACTTTGTCTGGTTAGAGCGTCTCGAAAGTGAGTGCATTTTGTAATGTTACACTTCTCATTTTTAAGATGAATAGTTCTCTTCCAAGCTTGCTATTCAACGTTCCCAGTTCCGATCTGGATGCTTGAGCAGTGTCCTTCATGATAACTTTTAGCTAACCAACCTATACTCTAGCTCTCGTGAAGTTTCCATCTCCCGCATGTTACGCTTTTGATTTTCTCGGAACGTTAGCTTCCATATTTTTTTGAACTGAGGGCTTCTTTGTAATAGCCGTTTTTTCCTCAGTGCCCACAGTATGGAATATTGTGGACCTGTTTTTTGGACTTTCAGATATTAAACATGATTTCCCATTTCCGGTCCTCTTGCAAACTACTTTCAATGTTTTTATCTTAACGTTTTTGCCAAACGATCTCCTTTATTGTGAAGGTTCTAGTATTACCGGTTGTGGTGGTAACAGTACTACATGTGGGTCAACATTCTTTTTACTGTCACTGCCGTCAGGAATTAGTCCTATCATGTTTTTTATCAGACACAATGGATCTGAAAAAATTTTTGTCCATTAATTTTTTCAGATCCATTAAAGCTTCAGCCGTGAATCTCAATTGACCTTAAGGAACAATTACAGACAAAAACAAGGATAGCCGAATGCTCCGACCATATTCATAAAAGCTACAATTTAAAGCTCTTCAAATTATTAAGTTCTTCAAATCTTCGAAGTTCGAAGAAAAACAAGATCCACTTAAAACTCTTTCAAAATCGAGAACAATTAATGATTGGCTCTTTTTTGAAAATGAATTTCACCTAATTTGAGAAAACTGGATCAATAGGTAAAATTTTTATTTCGCTGTGAAATCTGAAAAATGAATTCCAATTTCGAAACTAGAAGTCTATCACGTTTTACCAGACTTTTACACTTTTTTTATTCGATACAAGAGTTTGCCTTCTTTTTACAAAGGAAACGAACTGAATTTAAAAGTGAATCAAAAGCCAAACCACGAAAAAGTGAATTTAAGCCTGAACAGTTTTAAAGACTTTTCATGAAAACAACAAAAAAGTCATCGCGACCTATGCAAGAGTCTGAACTACGTTCATCGACTCTCAATAATTTACCTTTGGTCATTTAGGATTATTTTAGCTTCTATTATTCAGACTTGGATAATTGACGCGCGATATATTTCGTCCATTAAAGCGTAGGCCGCGAAATTTTAAAGCATTCCAATTGCTCTCAAATGGAAAGCCATTTACTCTCATTTATATGTCACCAGATGCAAAACATTTCAATTTGTATTTAACATGGCGTCTGAGGGCATAAAGTTCATTGAATTCATGGGTAGAAAATTCAGGAACATTTTTCAAAGGAATTTTGTAACCAAAAGGTTTTTGATTGACGTAAAAGGGCAGTCGGAACAATCATGACTTCGCCCTGATACGAGAAGTCTTGTTACACTTCGTGTTTATACAGCAGTACTTGGCACTTAAGTTCCTACTGTTGCTGTGCCAACTGCAGATTTTCAGCGAACTAACTTCAGTTAAGTTTTTGTTGTGTAGTCCTGCCTGTGCGCAATTTACAAAAGGAATCTGGAAGAACATGGCCGACAAGAGAGCAGTGGCAGTTGCCAGCTTACTCGGATCGTTTGCATCTATCGTCGGTAGCAGTTCTGGCAGGAGCTGCAGTATCTTCAGTCTACCACCTGGAAACTTGTCTGGTTCAGTGAGTACTGAAGGACACACGTAGGCCATAGAGAGCAGTGACGCTGTAAGTTGGTGTGGCTCCGTTAATGATGACAACGCCGTGTATAGCTAAACAAACTCACATCAAACCACGCAATTATTCTGAAATTACACGATTTTGATCGGATCTGACCAAAAACTTCAAAAAAGTACACAGACCGATACCACACAAACACAAGGTTTTCCTGCGAGTAGCATATCATGTTACGACCATTCATAATAAAATTAGTTTTCTCTTTTTTTTTCAAATTAAATTTCGTTTTTTAAAGTGTTGTGAGAGAGGACTAAACGAGCGTGGAAACAATTAGTGAATTTGGCCTAATCGACAAAAGTTGTCTTCAAAAATCAAAACATAGCCAATCGAAGATTGGAAAAGAGTAATGAACACAAGAAAACAAAAAAAAACACAGGCTTTCTTGAAAAAATCTCAGCTTTCGAATTTCAAAAAAAAAAATAGATGCCCTTTTGGCTCTTTGAATTTCTAGAGAAATTTATGATCGGCGCTTTCTTGATAACATTAACCGAACTTAAGAAAACTGGATCAAAAGGTAAAGTTTTTATTCCGCTGGAAATTTAAAAATTAAATTCCTCTTTCGCAACTAGTTCGTATTTGGAGATACTATTTACGTCACTTTCAGCAGATGAAATTCAATTAACTCAAAAGGTGCATATATACCTGAGTGCAATCATAAATGAATCAATATGTATGCATGCACATCTGTAATTATTAGAGACTGTTATGCACATTTCAAGACTTTTTCCTGAAAAACAAAACAAAAAAAATCAGCAAGACCTATATGAGAATCTTTACTATGTTTATGACTCTTAAACATAGCCAACTGACAGTTGGATAGGAGTAATGAACGCAATCAAATAGAAAAAAAAACATTGACTTTGTTGAAAAAATTTCAACTTTCAATTTCTAGAAAAATTTATGATTGGAATTTTTTTTTGATAGCATTAACCCAACTTGAGAAAACTGGATCAATAGGTAAAGATTTTATTCCGCTGGATATCTAAAAACTAAATTCCTCTTTTGCAACTAAAAATCGTTCATGTTTTTTGCGCCATTTCCACGCTCGTATATGGAGAGTGCTATTTACGTAACTTTCAGCAGAAAACTTTAAGTGAACTCAAAAAGTGCATATATAGCTACGAGCATTCATAAATGCATTTATTTGTATGAATGCACATCTGTAGTTATTAGAGCATTTTTAGTCTTTTTCCTAAAGAAAACAAAAAAAAATCACCAAGACCTACATTAGAGTCTTCACTACGTTCATCACTCGTTAAAAAAAATGAATTTTTCGAAGAAAAAAAAAACATCAAATACAAATAAATACTTATCTAAAAATTTTTATTGCCAAAGAAGCGCTAACTGAAGCTTAAAAAATAAATTAGCTGTAGTCTAGAGTGAAACAAAGTGTTTGACTGGTAAAACAAAAAATTTACTTTCAAGAGACCTACTCGTTCGAAGTTAGACAAAAGCTCACAAATTCCAAACGTGTATTTCTAGACACAGGGGAAACTTTATGAAAAATTTTAATGCCATTCAAATCAAGACTGCAAAATCTTTAACATGATATATCGCTCCAAGTATTTCTATTATTTTTTGTGTTAACTGAATTGGCCCGAAAAACAAAAAAAGGCCTGCTCACTCACTTCATTTGCTTGAAATTAGACCAAAAATAAAAGGTTTCAAATCGATTTTTCTCGACATTGATTTTTAAAATGTCGTTCGAACCACAACTGAATCGGATTTATGATTATATTTCACTCAACCCATTCTAACGATTATTTGTGGTAGATTTAGCGTAGAAAACAAAGAAAAACTAAAACACCCGAAGATAAAGTTTCTTTCCATTTTCAATGCTTGGAACAATCACATTGCAAGCTAGCAAACAGAATACGAATGGGAATTCATGAAGTCGATTGAAAAATTGCATCTATAAAAACTTCATACGTTTGTTCCGAACAAGTTGAATTTGAGGAAAAACATCGAGAAAATTAACCTAGTGTTAAAAAGCATTCAAAAAAATTAAACGAGCCAACAATTCTTGAGTAGATACCAGTGAATTCAAAAACAAAAACCTTTTTTCCAAAAAAAAACTAAAAGGAGTTACTATCAGCAAAAATTTGAAATACTAAGCCAAAATAAAATAATCCGAAACAATTCAAGTCTTTTAGGCAAAAAACATCAAAAGAAATAAGAATTAATCAGGCCTGGTAAGTTTAAAAACTAGGAAAACAAATTCAAAAAAAGAATCGGAGCTGCAATTTAGCAAACACAAGAAAAATCACATATAAAAAAACATTCACTTAAAGTTTTTTGTCTAGAACTAAACGATCAATATGTAAATTTTTTATTCCGCGCGAAAATTAAAAATTATATTCCACTTTCGAAACTACAGAACAGATGCTATTGAATTGCCAATTCTATACCAAATCCGCACTTTTATTTGTGAGTTAGATTAGAAAAAAAGTTGATTCATAATACATTACGCTACGCTCACTCGGTTGTTTGTATTAATGAAGTCAACCTTCGAACTGATTCAATGATTCTGTTAGACAAGCTCTTTGCCTGAAAAAAGTAAGCGTAAAAACCACAATTAGTAACAAGGATGAGCAGAAAAAGGTCTGTGTATGTCATCTCGAAGCTGGTTCTTTTCAAGTCAAAAGTTGCAGCTACATTTATTTAAACAGAGGCGAAGCTGAGCTTCGCACCACTTGCGATGCAATACTCGAAAAAAAGGGTCGATAAAACTTCAAAAAAAGTCGAAATCGAAAAAAAAAATTATCAAAAAAAGTGAAGTCCAACAAACTAGATCTTCTCTAGAAACCAAAAAACAATAATACAAAATAATGTAGAAAATAACCATCGGAAAAGCTAACAGGCGGTAAAAAACCAAAAATGTCTGAGCAGAAGCCCTTAAAGCCAAAAAAACTACAAAAATTTGGAAAAAAAATAAAAAGTTGTTAAACACTAGCAAGAACAAGACCAAAAAGCAGCTCTATCAAGTGACATGAGAAAAAATAGAAATATTCGAGGCTTAGCAAAAACTCGAATAAGCAAAAATCGGCGACCTAGCAAACTTGAGTCTCACGCACTAACCATTCAGTCACGGATCCTTAAAAACCCCAAAAAATAGCCACCAATAACACAGCTACATATGCTAAAAAAAATTGCCAATTCTATGCAGCGAAAGTAGCACCAATTAAAAAAAGATACTATTTTGCATGTAATAATTTGCACATCATAAAGCCACATTATGTATAAATTATGCATTTCAAAAAATTGCGAGATTTATTGATTTAGAAAATTTCTGAAATTGAGATTTTATTTTGTTATTTTGTTTGAAACAACTAGCTTTTTTCGGTTCACTTGAATTAAAAATGCATGAACAGTGTGAACTTATAACTATTCGAATGTCAAAGCACATGTTATCAATAAGCTGTAAAGATGCAACAAATACGCTGTCATGCCAATTTGCTGCAGCAAATATTGTTGCTTTAAGTCGCAACAATATTTGCGACTTACTCACAACATCAGTCGCAATGCGACTTAGTTTGGAAAGTTCGTACTATAACACTTTGCTTCGCAAGTGTAAAACAAGAAAGTTCGTACAATAATACTTCGCTTCGCAATTGTAAATATTCCGAAACCGAGAAAGAAAAGAAAAATAATGAAATTTTAACTAACCGAGTCGGTAAAATTACAACCAAAATAAAAATAAAATTCGAATAGGCCGTATATTTGAAATGCTAACATGCTCAAAAAATTGCAACAGAAAAGACTGGTGGTTGAATGAGTCCAGGATCCAGGACATGAAACAATATGGGACAACTAAGCCGATATAATATAGCCAGAAACCTAGGAAGCAAAAAAAAGCGAAAATGAAAAAAAAAATGAAAAAAGTTAAGACTAATAAGAAGTTACTAAGCCCCCTCAAAACACAGGCACGCACACACGCTTTTCGAAGAAAGCAATATGAGGCCGATAAGCCGATATAATATAGGCCGAAACCTATGAACACGAAAAAAAAATGGTTGTCATGAAAAATTTGAATTATAATTTCTAATAAAATGTTTAGCATTTTGTTTAATCCACAGATGAGCAAAAATTTTTTCCATTTAAACAACTCAAAATTAGGTCACTAAGCCGATAAAATATTGGTCAGAATAAAATATAAAACGAAAAAAAAACGAAAAAAAAAAAGAAATATAAACGATGTCAAGGTTTAAAAAAATTACAAAGAAACAGCGAGGTAAATCAGAACACTAAAAGTAACTATATTGTTAAAAAAATTAAAATTCAAATAAGCGATTTACTTGGATGGTAAAACTAAGCGGAAACTAAGCCGACTGCATGCATGCTGAAATCAGTGAAGTTCTGAAAAGTACTGCATGCATGCTGAAATTTGTTGACAAACTTATTTACGGAAAAAAAGTCTAGTACCCGATTGCAACATCCTTTCTTATCGCAAGGCTAATCACACGGTAAATACCTTTTCAAAGATATCGGGCAGAACTGTTTCCGGAGACAACACTGCCAATGTCTGGACAAAAAACAATGGATTGGTCTCATAGCTCATTGCCGACACTGACTGACCCTTGATAAATACCGAGAGTAAAACAGACGGCTCAACAATTGAGACGAACTCAGAGATCTGTTCTTCTGTTAGAAACGATTCAGTCGCTTGTCTTTTCATGTTCCATTTATCACACTCCTCACGTTCTCTAAAACACGTACGAAGCTGAGAGATTTAGAGAGTTTTACGTTAGCGTATATTCTCCGTTTTTTTTTATGATTTCTGTTATTCGTTATCTAGTAACAAAAGGAAAATTCAGAATATAATGAAGTGACTCAACTCACGCAATGACTCTTTCCAAGAACCTCTTTAGTAGATTTCCCATGAAGAAAGTCAGCCTAGTCTAAACAAAAACGACCTTTTCGCTTATCAAGCCTGAATTTGTCAAACGATTGTATGATCTATAGAATAATTAGAACTACTTGCACTGATTCAAAAAACATTGCAGTTACCGCATTTTTTGTATTTGAGTAATCAGGAAATTCCTTCAAAAAAAAATAAATAAAGCTTTCCAAATTAAGAGCAAGTCTTCTTCAGTGCATTTTTACTTACTCTGTAAGTTTCTTTCCACAGCTGCAGTTTACGCATCAGCTGCTCCAAAAATGTATAAAACTAGCATTATACATGAGCTTTTCACAATATATTCAACACAACGAGTTCGTGGAAAAGTTTTATCAGAACTTGGCAGCTTCCAAGGGTTGCAGACTCTCTCGTAATGAACCAACTTGCAGGTGATATATATTCAACTTTCTAAAATTTGTGCTAACTAAATTACATACCGTGTTTGGACCCACTAGGTTTGACGGGTGATAATAATTCTGCAAGCTTGAGAACAAAAGCTTCAAATGGACTAGAGCAGAACTTTTATGATCTATCGTATTCACGGCGAGTTCTGCTAAGGCCTGAATTACGTGACCCGACTTGTCGCTCGTTCCCTTTCGCCCGAGAGCACTGACGCCGACCGATCTAGGCAGAGCTAGCGGGAGTCCAAAATACTTCAAAACCCGAGTGTATAACTTGGGCAAAAAAGGCTCCCAATCAATTCTTCCCATGTTGTGCCTGGAGAGACGACGAAATAAAGATATCAAGTCAACATCTTCCATGGTTTCAAGATTCATATTTTCCGTCCACAGGTTCATCAGTTCGTCAAACCACACTTTGTATCCGAAAGATTCTTTGCCTATTTCGATATACGTTGGAAGAAACAAACACAAAATTCTCACCCCAGCTGAATGAACTAAACTGGTTGGTACCAAGTATTGCTTCGCCTCAGCAATGATTTCATGGGTTGATTCCACTGAGAAAAACTTTTGCAATAGCACTACTGTCTTAGCAACCTGTGAGTCCATATTTCTTTGATGGATCAAAATGCTCCTACTGCTGTCATACCCAAAATGGTATTTGTAGTACAATTTATACCAAGATCTCCAGTCGATGTCTAAATCACTCGGCTGCAAGTAAAATCCCCGCAGCAAACCGTCCGTTAAAACTCCTAGAACGCGATTGCAAATCACAGGTTCCAGATCCAAATTAGTCGCAATTTTACACAGCATATCAACAAAATAAACATGGTCAGTTTTGCACATATGCAGCCCATAAAGGTTCAAATATGAGGACAGCCTCTCAAGCCAAAACACGAAACCAGGCCTGACGTCCAGCTTTGCGACTGCTAGCGAGATGTTCAGTTTGATCCCTCTCAGTTCAGCTTCAATCAATCGTAAGCTTTCATTTGGGTCTGGATATTTTGCGATGTACTTGCACTTTTTCTGCATGTAACTTGAACGTCCAGGTTTCACAAGTGTTATATTGTCAATAGAAGGCGACCCACTTTCGGAAAGCTCTTCCTAAACAAAGTTTAATTATCAAGCCAACCGAACACTTAACTGGCAACAGGAATTTATAATTTGGAAGTTTACAATAATTATACGACTTAACAAACCTCTGATTGCAGAAGTGCATCCTCTTCATCAGAACCAGAAGAATTAGACGAGTCGTCCCTATCTGACATGTTTCAATAACTCTTAAAAAAAGTGGTACAAAATGGAGATGGCAAGCTTCAAAATCGAGGTTATTATTGAAACAATTTTAATACTCTTTAACAGCAAAATGATAGCAAATAATATGATGCAAGTCTAATCCGTATATAACTCAATTACACCAAAAATGAGTAACATATAAGTTTAACGGTCACATTTCACACCGGCAAAATCCCATGGAATTTCATGATTTAGGGAAGTGTAAAAGAAAGTATCTGATGAACTAAAGCGAAGACTGTCAAGATGGTTGGGAATCAAGTCAACTAGATTGACAAAACTAACACCTGCAGATAACACACTGAGTCGTCCCTATGAAATGAAATTCACTTCCTTGCGGATATTGATAGTTTTTTGTCTGAACTGAAGTTAAATAGATTACCCGGAAAAAATTATATGAGATTGAAGCAGCTGCAAAGAGATATTCTAAGAATGTGAAACAGACCCCCTCTGACAAAGGTAACGAAAAAGCCAGAAAGTATTTGAAGGACAACGGTCTTCTGACAGTGCCGTTTGATAAGGGCGTGGGTTTTTGTGTAATGAAAAAGGAGACATATGAGAAGAAACTGAAAGATTTATTACAGGCAGAACAATTTAGTGAGAGGAGGAATCTGACAGACAGCGAGCGTGATCATGAAAAGTGAAAAAGACATAAACAAGGAATTATTCGCCATGAAAAAGAAGGACGAGATTAGCGAAGCGCTGTTTACTAGGTTGAGATCCGGGGGCACAGCGGGCTAGGCTGTATGGATTAGCAAAAGTACATAAACAAGACACACCACTTCATCCCGTCCTTTCTTTGCCTGGTAGCTCATATGACGTATAATCTCACTTGATGTAAAGAGTTTGTACACTAATGTTCCGCTCAAGGAAGCGGTTGAAATAGCTCTGAGGAGATTATATGAGCAACTCAACCCTCCGGAAACATCTCGCAAGACTATGAAAAACTACTGAATTGGGCAGTAAGGTACACCTTAAATGCAATGATTTGGGGTATGTACAAAAAGACGTTTTAGCAATGGGCGACTCCCTTGCAGTAATACTGGCCAATTTGTGGCTCAAGGAATACGAACCTGCATTAAAGAAAGAAGTACCAAAATTGACTGTGCTAAATGAGGGTAACAAGGAGATCTGCCCTGGATGTCAGAAAAAGGTGACATATCGGACTAAGGGGGTAGAATGCGAAGCTTGTTTGAATTGGTATCACTTAGGTAGTGGTAACATATGGGAATCCGAATACGCAGACATCGCTGAAACAGCATGGTATTGCATTACTTGCAAAAAACAACAGGAAACAGATCGGACTTAGAATGTTGTTACCATAGAAGAACTTGATAGTAACGGTAGTTTGGCCTTTTTGGATTTAAATGTCTAGGTGGACTCAAGAAAAAAGGTCAGATATGGGTGGTATCAAAAATTCACTGATACCGGCACCATTCTAAATTTCAGAGGTTGCGCAACTTTGCAGTGCAAAAGAAGCGTTATTGAAGGGACGGTTCATAGTAATTTCAGAAGTACCTCAACATGGGAAAATTTTGAGCAGGCATTTGAAAAAAAAATCGAAAACAATGGATTGAAAATCAAAATCCGAAAAATTGTTCGGACAGGGTAGTGTTTGAAACTCTTAACAAGATCTTTGAGGGAAAGAAAAATTTTGAGGTGAAGGCAACAGAACCGAGAAATGATAAATGGTTAAAAAAACTCACCCCCTTTTTACAATGCTATATCGAGGCAATCTATCTCAACTGTTAGCTGCAAAGGTTCGACAAATATCTTGGGCACAAATAATTTTTACAACAAGAAAATTGAAAACAGGCTTGCCATCCCTGAAAACTTCCTTTGCTCGTGAACTGAGATCCAAAGTGGTGTATAAGCTTACATGTAGTGGATGTAACTCCACTTGTCGGCCAGACAGTCCAAAATTTAGCCACGAGGGTCAATGAACACCGCAAAGGGGACTCTCCAGTAGGGCAACACTTGTTAGAATGTGATAGAGGTAGGCGGTACCGCTGAGCTGAAGTCAGAGATTATAGACCAAACAGCCAACACTCATAAGCTACTAACACTAGAGGCTTCGGGTATTTGGAGGGAAAGACCGAGGATCAACATAAGCGATGAATTCAGGAGCCGCGAATTAACACTAAAATTATAATCCATGTTAAACATGGCTAAAAGTTAAAAAAAATTGTTGTTTCAAAATCAAAAACATTTCCAAATCGGAGTTTTATAACCATGAAAGAACAAAAAACTTAAAAGTCTCAGAAATTTACAGGAAAATGTTATTAACGAATACGTAATTTATTATGTAATTACAGTTGTTTAAAATTGATTGGTCAAAACGTTTTCGAGCATTTTTACACTTGTTTCTCTTTTTTCAGATCTTAGATCGATCTGTAAAAATTGTTTAAAAATTTTTATTGCGCTGTGAAATCTGAAAACTAAACTCCACTTTCGAAACTAGAAGTTGAGCAAGTTTTTTGTGGCTTTTATACTTTTGCTGCTCGAACAAAGGAAATGAAGTGAGCTTTTAAAAGTTCAAAAGGCGAACCGCAAACAATTTGAGCCTGAACAATTTAAAACTTTTTCCTGAAAAAAATTCTGCGGGAAAAGGTTATCATTAGAAGTGCCAGGTACACATCGGTCGCAATAAAAAAACGCTATTAGAAACTCCTTCTTTTAAACTTTATTAGAAATTTCTAACAATCTGCGCAAGAATCGATAGTGTCACTTGGAAAAGACAATGATGCAAGTCCACCACACCCAAACTATGTTGCTTCAACTACTTCTGCTGCTTGTTTTGAAGTGCTTAAAAATCCGATGAAATCAGAATTCAATGTATCCCTGAAAGCACCTCAAAATCGTCCACTAAACGCATCGAAGATGATTCTAAGTCTGTTACCAAAATGATTGAATACCTGGTCGTAGGTAACTCTAACAATATCCAAGAGGTGTACAGACTGGGTAAATTGAAAACTGAATCCAATGATGCCTGTCCAAAGACTATCATTATCAGACTAAATTCTGCCTGGTCACTCGAAAAATTCTGAGTAAATGTTATACTCTGAAAAATTACAATGTTGCAATCTGTATTTCCATGTCTTTAACTGAAGCTGGCCAAGTTGTTGAAAAAGCGTTATTGAGAAAACGACACGAGATGATAACATTTAGGTACGACCGCAATCAAATCAGACTTCGCGATCTAAGACTTTACGTGAATGGCAAACTGCATCATATGGAAACAACTGAAAATTGACTAGAATTTTTTTCTTGTTATTTTTTTAGATGCTAAAGTTTACTTTCCTTGGAGAGGCGGTTAAGCTTTGCTAAACTTTTATATGCCTGGAACTGCAACTTCATTCGCTTGAAAGATAATTGGCTTAACACTACTGTGGATTCTTCATGTATCTTTCCTTTCTCTGACTTCAATTTTATTGCGAGGTCTGATTGAACTGTTGGTGCTCACGGAGGTTGTCTTAATGCAATGAAAACTTGCACTGCCTCTGTTTTTGACAATCACCCAATATTTTGAGATTCGTTAGTCGGTTGCGCCGTCTTGCTTCTTCTCCTTCCACTCAACATTCGATGAACTCGGTGATTTCATCTTAGCAGCTCATGCCGCTTTTCACAGCGAGCGTGCTAAGCGCGGTAACGTTTGCTGCAGCTACTTTACGGTAGGTGGTGACTTTAACTATCCAAATGTTGACTGGCGCTAGCTCCACAGTTCGAACTCTTCTGATTCGAACTCTTTTTTTTTGTAGTTATTGACCTTGTTTTAGAACAGTACATACTTGAACCACCCATAAGAGTGGCAATAAGCTTGACATCTTGCTCCTCAATTCAACGGGGCCATGTGACATCAAAGTTTTAAACTCTGGATTTTCCGATCACAGACCTCCCAAGATTACATTTTGTGATGGCGCTATTTTTAATTTATTTCCTAGGAATATTGGACAATGCTTTACTATAAAATTCAATCTTTCGATGGCGAGCTTTTACTTTACTTCGGAGCAGGGCCGACAGTATCTGATCTCACTCTTAGATAGTAAAAGTAGTTAGTTATTTTAATACTGAATTTCGTCTTACTGTTCGTCAGGTTTCAATCTCATCGCTCTCAGTGTTATAATTTTCACCCTGGTTCTATTCAATAGTTCAAATATAATCATATCTACTTGCGCCGGCACGCGCCAGACGAAAGACAATAACAAAATTAGCGGCACTTAATAAGGCAAGAGTTTACAGTATTTTACACGGCAATTTATAACCGGAGCAGGATGGAGTAATTATGTTCTCTGATAGGTAAACAGATATACTTTTTCCGGTTTATGAGTGGTTTTAGCAAATACAAGAAATGTTTGTGGTGTTTCGTGTTTGAGCAAGTGATTTTACATTCCTATGATGGTATACAAGTTCAAGCTCCATATATGGTAATAAGGAAATATGGATGATTATATCACTCTTTATATAACGGACTTTTCTAGGACGTTACACAACCGTTCTTTGATAAAATTTATGTATATAAATTTAAATGTCGTTACTAGTTTTTTTTAAGGTGCCACCCTTAAGTTGTCGATTGTCTTGTCGCGTTGTTCACCGGTGATTGTTGTTGCTGGAGGGTCTGAACTGGGAATGTTTGAGGAGACCGAAAGTAGATTGGTTTTTGGTCTGTTTGTTGTGTTTCGTGCGGGATTTCACGGGCATGAACTGAATGCCGTGACTGCGATTGGAGACTTCTGCGGGATGAACTGAGGGATTGGGTTTGTATAGCGTCTCTTTGGTTTTCCTCTTGTATCAGATGCTTGTGGTGTTCAGCCACAAGGTTCTCGATTTTGTTTAACCGAAGGAGTATGTCTTGTATTATTTCTTCATCCGTTGTAGATGCATTAATGAAAGTTATCTTCCTTTTGAGCTTATGATCCATCGATTGTATCAGTGGGAATTGGTCCTTAGTTACTGACATTACTTGTTTTACTGGAATTTTTGTATCGGT